GATTTTTGTTTTGGGTTGGTTTTTTTTTTTTTTAATGTGTTACGTAGAACCTGTTCTGTAATGTAAAAAGTGAATAGGAAACCTGGTATGTGGAAAGAGACGGAGCCCCGGGGGCGGTCAGATTCTCTATGAAGGGGAGAGGATGAAAGAGCTGGGCTTTAGCCCCTTTCCCCTGCTCTATCTCCTCGGAGCAGCCACCCCCAGCCTCATGAAGATGAAGCAAAGACCACAGGCCCGGCCCTGCTAGGCGGTGGGAATCCAACACACAGGACATTCAGTGGAGCTCTGTAAATACCTGTGGAATGAGTGACTAAATATGTGAGGAACTGTTCCCACCCTGCAGGGCTCCCTGCTTCGCCCTACCCAGTCAGGCTTTGGCGCAAGCCTGGATTGGATTTCATGGAGGATTTGTGCCTACTCTGGGACCTACTAGAAGATGCATGATCTCTTTTAGACCTCCCAGTTGTCATTGAAAGTTCAGGGACAAGAATTTGAGCAGTAAATCAAAGCATGTGCAAAAACAGAGTGACATAGTCTGGGAGTGGGTAATAATGGTGGGCCCCTCGCATCCCCTGAAGGAGACATGACTGTGTGTGGTCACGGTTTGGTACAGACGTGGCTGAGGAGACAGTGACTCGCTCCTCTGGTTGCAGGACGCCTCTTGGCTGGCTGTGATGATGGAAGGCACGCCCCCTCCTGGACAGCTGGAGCTGCTGCTAGATTAGAGGCAGCAGAAGCGGCAGGGGCCTGACTAGAGAGCGGAGGGGCTGGGCACGGAGGACATCTAGGCCAGGAGGGGCTGGGCGCAGAGGTTCTCTTGTGGCAGGGAACCCAGCCAGAGCTGGGCTCCTGTCCCAGCTGGGCTCCAGCCTGAGCAACTTGGCTTTCCTGCTTAATCGTTTAGCCTTGCCACAAAATCTTTCTTGTGTGCAAATATGCTCATAGCTTAAAAAAAAAAAAAAGAATAGGTTAAACTGCTGTTGGTTTAAACCACTAATCAAATCTTTTGTTTTACAAATTTAGGAAATAAAATTAGGCTTCAGGGACTAAATGTCTCTCCCAAGGTCTAGAAACCAGGTTGAAACTGAGCTGGCACCAAACCCATTTCCCTGGCTCCTGTCTTCCAGTTCAGCTTCCCTCCCATAAACTCCCACCCAGCTCCCTGAGCCCAGGATGGTGGATTGAGGGGAGCAGTGGGAAGGGGCTGCCACTCTAGCATCGCTCACCTGTAGCATGATTCTGCCACAGGGAGAGCATAGAAATCTTGTGTGATTGATAGCAGAGTGTTTGCTAAACTCCTTAAGCATAGTCATTCAACAAACAGTTATCTACACACCTCTGTGCTAGACATACTCTAGAGACACACCTCTCTCTGCTCTCATGGAACTCAGTGTCTTGAAAGGGATACTAACTCTGAACAGATTTTTAAAAATATATAATTATGCAAATAAATAAATCATATTATATATAATTACGAAGCATGCTATGAAGGAAGAAATACAAGATGCTGTGAGAGCATGGTAATATTAACAGAAGGACCTGGCCAAGTCTAGGGGTCAGCAGTGAGTTTTCCGCAAGGGACTGACATTAGGGCCAAGATCAGAAGGACAAAGGCATCCAGGAGTTAACCTGGTCAATAATCATCGATATATTTTTATCAAGCACTTTCCTTGAGTCAGTCTTCACTTGCTACATTAACTTCTTTAATCCTTCCAAGAATCTTGTAAGGTAGATATTGTTATTTTTCCATTTAACAGATGAAAAAGTGAAGCAAAAACATGTAACTAATCCACATTAGTAGGCCCCTGGCTGCAGAAGCTCTTATTCCACATGGGAAGGTGCCCAGGCTAGGAAAGGGAGGAGGCTGATTGCTGAAGGGCAGGATGAATGTTCTTATGAAACTGCCAAGATGAGAAAGGGCCACATCATGCAGGTGATGATATTCATGTTAAAAATGTTAGTGCTTTTCCTACGGCCAGTAGGAAATATCTAAAACCAGGGAATGCATGATCACAATTATTTATGTTTTAGAAAGACCAGTCAGGCTGCTGTGTGGAGACTAGAGTGGAAAGAGGCAAAGAAGAAACTTACAGAGACCACTTAGGAGGCTGTCCCTGAGACCCAGGCATGAGATGATGATGGCCAGGACCGTGGCTTGCATGTGGAGATGTAGAGAAGTAGTCAGTTAAATTCAGTGTCTGGTGAGAGCAGGCACTTCCAAGTAATTCAAAAGAGAAACTCAAGCCCCTTGGAAGCAAGCATTTGAAATATGCTCATTACCAATTATTTTTATCCAGTCCTTTTATAGGGGCTCCAATTCGGGAGTTCTTACACCAGTTCCCATATGTGTTGAAAGCATAGCATGGACTGCTTTACAACATTCTATTTTAATATAATTCAGCCAATTGAAAACCAGGTCAAGGCCTGCTCCCTGGCACCCCAGTCTGTTACCATGTGACACTCGGAGGGCAGTTGTCCAGACCTGCACTTGGGATCGCCACATTCCTCGGCTCCCAGGGCAGAGCCCTGCGAGGTTCCCTCAAGCCCCCGCACGATGCTAGGAAATGCTCCCTTTATCAACTCCAGATGTCAGTCCACAACTCCTGATGAGTCAGCTTTCTAAACATAGATGTGTGGAAAGAATATTTGGGGCTGAGCATCTTTAACCGAATGGCATGGAATCGTGTGGGAAATGTGAAGCCCTGGATTGCTTTCTCTGCCAGCAGTTTTCTGGGACTGCCAAATTGTGGGGGTGGAGGAGAGAGGGCTCAGCGGTGGGGGAGACAGAGATAAGCCAAACTAGACCAGCTACTGCCTTGGTGACATGGTTAGTGTCCTCCTTGTTCCTGATTAAGTCCATTTAAGATGCTGATGACATGTCTTTTGTTCTAACAGAACATGAAGAGCTTTCCAAACTAGGGAATGGTCCCTGTCAGCTGGGAGCTGACATGGTGAGCTCCTATTTGCAGAGTGCATGCTGATCTGATGAGGCATTTCCCGGATTGTCAGATTCCTAACTTTTACATTCTGTTTAAGCTGGAATAGTTCTATGGAAGGCAGAAAAATAAACGCTAAAAAGTCAGGCTTGCCTTTCTCCTGATGTCTGCGATTTAAGTGCTTTTTTTTTCCCCCCTGGACAGAGTATTCTCTGCCACCTTGTGGACATTTTGGGAAATTCACAAGCCAACTGGCTGAGAGGCTGGGACGGGGCTGCCCTCACCGGCTGGTCCCTTGAAGTACAGACCAGGCTCCAGGCTTGCCCACAGGACCAGCACAGAACAGAATGAGGGCGACTACAGTTCTAACCTTCCCTGCTACTCTGCCATGCATCAGGTCATGGGCCTGTCACCCTCGAAGCAAATGGAAATGGATCAAGTCTCACTGGATCTTAAGTTGGGTACTTCTATGAAAATAAAGTTCCAAGATTTTTTTTCCCCCAAAGGGAAGAAGAAAATGAAACATTAAAGTTAGCAATAGCTACTTGCTGCTTATGAAGTGCTGGCATTTGCATACTTTTGCCCTGTGGTTACTCTCAGCTACTCTCAGCATAGAAACATGGCAGGGTGGGTCCTTCCTAACATGCTACCCCAGCTTGTCTTAGGTGAAGCTTGGAACACAAAGGTGCAAACCCTGGGTTTGCATGTGTTTTGGTAAGTGGTCTTTGGCAACCAGCTTGCAGACTTTATGAGATGAGCACACGGTAGGCTGTGTGGGCAGTGGAGAGAACACAGGCCCAGGGCCTCACAGCCCTGCTTTTCAATCTGCTCCCCGTCACGTACCAGCTGTGTGACCTTGGGTACTTCACCTGTGACAGTCAGTTTTCTTCTTGTAAAGCAGAGATACTGATAGGACCTGTCTTGTGGGAAGCTTGGAGGACTAAATAACAACAAAGCCCAGAGCCTGGCTCGTGGCCGACTCTCATAACTGGTCCATGTGTGTAACCAACAAGTGCTGAAGTCATATGAAGTCACTGCTGAAACAGTGGTGGGGTCAAGGGTATCAATAGTCTCTGATTCAAAACTGCCCAAACTATGTCATTGTCTCCCCGGAGGTAAGACGTGAACCACAGAGCGCCTGAAGGAGGGGTACAGTTGATGAACTTAAGCATGCCAGGTGATCAGAGGCAGGGCTGCATGCTCCCTGGGTGGCCACGCTCCCCACCCTCATGCAGGTACATGTCTAGGAGGCCATGGCGGGTCTCCCAGCTTCTGGGTGATGAGTGGCTCACAAACTCTCCCCCACAAGCCCTTTGAGACAAAGGCCTGCAGAACCTGACATGCGTGAGGGCTGGCTGGGCTGGCTGGGCTGGCTGGGGTGGCCAGTGTGCAGTGCTCGTCAGCCCCCAGGGTGGATGTGGCTTTTCTGAAAGGCACCTATGGAGATGCAGAATTGACCAGCAAAACCCAAGGGCAGCTCTTTAGCATTTCTTCATTTTCCAGTAAAGACTCTAAGCTTTGGAGTGTGTGTCTGGGATTTTTAGAGATTGCCATCACCTTATAAGGGAAAGAAACATACATTTACTGAGCACGTACTATGTGTTGGCACTACACTAAGGAGTTTAGACATTTAAACCTTTCAACAGCTCTGTGAAATAGGAGTTGTTATTTCATCCATTTTACAGGCAAGGAAACTGAAGTTCAGTAAGGTGAAGTGGCCTGGCTAAGCCACCTGGCTAGTGAGAATGGAGCCAGGGTCAGGATGGGGCAGGGATGATCTTAGCGGTATTACACCTTTGTGCGCCACACAGCACCAGGCACAATGCCCTGGACTTAGGAAGAGCTTAGTAAATGCCTGCTGAGTGGAGAATGGAAGGATTCATGTGCCAAAAGGCATTCAGAAACGGGCAACTGCCCAGGCAGGGCTCTGAAAGACCAGCTATGTGGAGCAGCAGCTGGCGAATCATCAATTTAAAAGTCACTGTCATCCGGCCGGTGGCCTGCTGGCCTGCAGCCAGCCACGTACAAGGGCTGACTTGATCAGCTTTGGCTCTTTTATTTCAGGCAATCCACCTTCCAAAGAGGTGCCTGCTGGGAAGTACCCATTCATAGTCACCTCTGACGATGGGCGGAAAGTTCCTGTGGTCCAGGCCTATGCTTTTGGCAAATACCTAGGCTATTTGAAGATTGAGTTTGATGAAAAAGGAAATGTCATCTCTTCACATGGAAATCCCATTATTCTAAACAGCAGCATTCCTGAAGGTATGTGAAATTCAGAGAATATCCCAATTCAAAATTTAGATGGCTGGATATTCGCCTCTCCAACCCCTTTAAAAAAATGTTTTAGGAAAGAACTATAATACTATTGAAGAATTTAGCTTCTCCCTAAAGTTTACCCTCCTCATGGAGAAGGAGATTTCAAACACACCCAAATGCCAAGATGCTCATTTGCTTCTCTGAGCCCTCTCAGCACCAGACTCCGAATCGCCGCTTCTTCTGCCTTTTAAAAGCTTGGTCCCGACGTGCAAAAGCCACACTCAGCTCATGCCCGGAGGAGAGCTGATTATTAAAGCAAAGGGGTTCAAACTGGGCAAAGTGGGGCTCAAATCCTGCCACCCCCTGCCCCGACTAGGGGCCATGTGCCTTGGGCAAGTTGCCCAGTCTCGATGGGCCTCAGTGTTTTTATTCATCAAATGAGGAAGTACCTTTCTCACTCTTTTGTCTGGGACTCAAAGTATGTTTTTATGTCATTCATTTTCATGTCATATACATGAACATATTCCTGTGCTTGTTTCTCACCTGACCTTTTCTGTTTCCCATGATCAGATCAGGAAGGATGAGGGGTGAGGGGCCACTGCGCCTAGGAGAGCCTGTGGTCACCACACAGGCCTCTCGATAACCAGACCGGAAGGGGGCCAGGACCCCACAGACTGTGACAGCCCAGCAGCACCTCAGGAGCCTTTGACACCTGCCCTTTCAGAGCCCCTACTGCTAATGCTACCCCAGGCAGGCCAACAGGCAGGTCATACAGATGTGATGAGTTGATATTAAGATGTTCAGCATATCCTTAACTTAAGATCCACTTCAAGTCTTATTACCAGGGAACAAAATAGAAGTTCCTAAGGGAATTTCATGGTTAAAACCAAAATGTACACAAATATGGTAAAAAAAAAAAAATATGTACTCACAACAGGTAAGCTAGATGATGTTTGATTCCTTCTCCATAATTTAGCCCAGTGTGAGATCTGCTTTAACTACAGGCTACCTTCTTTCCTTTCTGTCTTTCTTCTTTATTTTTCTTCTAGATCCAAGCATAAAAGCAGACATTAACAAATGGAGGATAAAATTAGATAATTATTCCACCCAGGAACTGGGGAAAACCATTGTCTATCTGGACGGCTCCACCCAATCATGCCGCTTTAAAGAATGCAACATGGGCAACCTGATCTGTGATGCGATGGTGAGTGGTCCGCAGGAGCGGAGGGCCTGTGTCTGGGGAGGAAGGAAAGGAAGAAGGAAAGAGGAAGGAACGATGCAAAGAGGGACCGACTGATAGTTGCAGGTCAGAAATTTTAAAAAATTAGTGCCCAGACAGAAGCTTGGTGTAGTTTCATATACAGTTCCTTGGTAGGGTGCCTGAAGTAGATCACGTGACCATTACTTTATTGCCTTACAAGAACTAAAACCTTTATTTCAAGGTGTTCTTCTTAGATGTCTGAATTTTGGCTGTATCTCTCTCTCTCTTTTTTTTTTTTAGTAAGATATGAATATATAAACTCTGCTGCCCTGAAGATGTCAACATAGTAGATAAAGCACATCTGCTTGGACCTAAGTTGGCCAGAGTGTTTTTCCCTGAACTGTCCACCTAAAGTTCCTAGACCTTGTGTGACTGAAAGTCTTTCACAAGCACAGAATGACAGTGCACAGTTAAAATGATCCTAAGTCCCGTGGCTGAGAGAGATCAGCTGTGAGAAGAACCCTGGTCTCTTTGTCCCAGCAGACTGGCTGCGCTAGCTCCTCGTGGGCCAGACCCGCCACTTCCACAGGCTCAGGCGTGCACCCAGGGCAGTCATTTATTTGCAAGTGCTCAGCACGTGCTGCCAGGTGCCAGGTGCCTTTTATATATTTATTGGCATTCAATGAATGCATGCCAAGCAAATGCCAACATTCATGCTTTCAGAGATAAGATTCCTGGTGGCTGCTCAGCACCATGCGGTCCGCAGGGCAGAAGGGGTTAAAGAGGAGCCAGCACGCAAATGTTCAGAGGAAGCTTTAGAAGGAAATGCCCCAGGCTGTTAGCAGTGCTCACCTCTTTATTGGAAAGGCTAGGGAGAATACATATAAGAACTTTTGCTTTTTGCACTATTTATTTTCAAGTGAGCATATATTCATGTTATTTCTTATAACTAAACATACATTTTATAAAAGAAAAGTAAGAATGAACCAGTGTCTCCCAGTTTCAGGCTGTCCCTGTGCCTCCAAAATTGCCGACTTGGGAATTGGCTGGGGACATAGACATGGAGGCCAGGTTCTCTCTTGTTGGCATGAGGTCTGGGAGTGAGCGGGCTTCAGGGCCCTGCCCCCAAGAGCAGGCAGGAGACAACCCTGCCCTGGGGGAACCTGTGCAGGAGCAGGCTGCAGGCCAGTCCATGCAGGGGGCCCAGTCCTGACACCAGGGCTATGCCCCAGGAGTCCGTTTTGCTAAGGCCCACCAGCCTGAGGGTATGGGGTTTTAGGAGAGGGGACTAAGAGCTCTCTGTATTTAAGAGTCTGGCACCGCATTGGTCACAGTATCATATTTTTGCTTCTTGGAGCATAAAACTAGATCTGACTGATTATAGTTGAGAAGTCTCTGGGAACATGGGAGCAGGGGAAAAGTAGCTTTATATCCTCAGTAGAGCTAACCAGATTCCTGGAGCTGGTTAGCTGATTCTAAGGATTCCTGATTCTAAGGAAGACCCAGAATAGCTAATGTAAATTTGTGTTACTGTTGCAGATTTACAACAACCTTAGACACGCAGATGAAATGTTCTGGAACCATGTGTCCATGTGCATTTTAAATGGAGGTGGCATCCGTTCGCCCATTGATGAGCGGAACAATGGTATGCTCCCCAACCCAGCTCCTCAGTGTTGTGTTGTGTTCTTCTCTGACCTGTTTTCCTGCTGTGGCTTCTGTCCTGACCATGACCGTACCTAGTCTCAGCTCATCTCTGCTGCCAGCCGTGTAGCAGAATGTCAGTTGTTTCAGTTAGGGTTAGCTGTTACCAAAGTCCAGGACCTAGCCTGAAAGACACACACAAGCTTGTGTGTTGTTGTATGTATTCACACACATAAGCAGCAGCTAGGGTTAATGGAACCCATGCTTGGTTTAAATTTCTGACTCACAAAGCTAAATACTAATTGTTGCTGATTTATGCAAAATGTTTATTTTTCATAAATGTTTATTTTGCAAGCCTTTGCCTTGGCATCTGAAAAGAGAAAGACAAAAATCACCAATCTTCAGTATCACCGACCAACACTAAGGTGCTCACATGGAAGTAATATTCATCGGGTGCTGGTCAGGTGGGAGGGGGGTGGTGTGTAAACTCACAACTAATATGTGGAGCGCACTGTATGGGGGATGGGCACGCTTGTAGCTCTGGCTTGGGCAAGGCAAAGGCATTATATGTAATCAAAATGTTTGTACCCTCATAATATTCTGAAATTTTTAAAAAAAAAGAAAAAGAAAAAGGAAAAAACCCACCAATCTTCTGTGTTGGAAAACATACCAAGGATTAAAATATTATTTTATTGTATTTACAGATATCCAAGATTATATTATACGGTAAAACAAACTAGAAAGATGTTCAAGACACTCTTATAGACCTCCCTGATATATTGTGAGCACCCATCAGCATCTATATAAGGCCCCAAGCTCATCTCATTGTCACACAACAGGGACAGGGGACAGGGATACACTGCCTATCTGCAGGAACTGAGCAATGCCTAACAACTTACTGCAGATCTGGCCCCAAGCCAGGAGATCCAAGGCTGAGCATGGTGCACTTTTGAGGCACAGCCACTTGTGAGCTCCTGTCATCTTGCCCAGTGGTGGAGGGCAGGGCCAGGGGCCTCTTGAATCTATTCCCTCCCTGTCAGGAACCACTTAGACATGGCTGATGCTGTTCTCACAGCCCAGTGTATCCTTCCCCAGCCCTGAGGGAAACTGGTCTTGGGGTTAACAGTTTCTTAAGCTGTCTTCCTTCTTGCTTCATCTGTGACTACCCTCAGGCACGATTACCTGGGAGAACCTGGCTGCTGTGTTGCCCTTTGGAGGCACATTTGACCTAGTCCAATTAAAAGGCTCCACCCTGAAGAAGGCCTTTGAGCACAGCGTGCACCGGTATGGCCAGTCCACTGGAGAGTTCCTGCAGGTGGGCGGTAAGTCACCCGTCCTTCGGGGCTGGCTTGTCCAAGGTGATGTGGGTTGCCTGCTGGTTGGCTCAGCTCACCCCTTATCAGGACCTCTGTGGCCAGGCTTGTTTGCGTTTTCCCCTATCCAACACCAATACACCATTTTTTAATGGGTAGGGACTCCCAGAGTCACTGAGGCTAGGTTGGGGTCAAAGGCCCAAGTCCTGGCAATGAGCAGTGTTAGCCAAGTCTGATTTGGACACCAGATGGGCCCTTCACAGAAGCTGGCCCTCTAAGCTCTAAGCACGTCAGCTGCCTTGAGGTCTAGTTTCTATTAAAATCTTAGGTGTTTAAGCATTCAATATTCTTTAAAAGCAATCCTCTCTTCTGTTCTATTTGTAATTGCCTGGAACCATGCCAAGGTTCAAAGCCATGCTGCCCAGTCAGTATTAACAAGGATGATTTCTGGGAGGGACAGCCTACAGTGCTGACACACAAGAACACCGGGGCAAATCCTCAACCTCTCCCAGCACAGCCAGAAACCTGTCCTGCTTATCTCACAAATTGCAGTAAAGACTGAATGGAAAATGTTTCTCAAATTGCCAAGGGCTTCTGAAACTCTTTTCTTAGCAATTAATTCCACATACCAGTGAAGTAATCCTTTAATTAATAATCTTCTCTTACTCGGAAACCATTTTCTGGCCTCATTTTTTGACTTTAGATTGTGGCCCCACTTGGTGTCATCACCTTGCCAAATCATCCCTCTGCAGAACACACTGCTGAGATTGGACGTCTGGGGCAGTGGGACCCCTGGCCTGCTTGCTTGGGGGGTAACCCAGACATCCTTTATTTTCTCAGGAGGGAATTAATAATCTTCTTTATTAATCAAGGGGAACAGCAGTGTTTTGATGCTCTAGCAAAATATTGGGTAGCTGTTTGCTTTGTGAAAGTCACCCAAGTTATTACCATTTAGTAGTCTTCAAAACAGTAAAATGCTCTGTGCCTCTCATCTATTTGTCGTTTTCTAAAGCCATTGACCCAAGTTAGTGGACCAATTATTTCAAGATTATAAAGAAGGAAAAAAAGATGTGGCTTCTTCTTACAGATCACCATTTGCCCATTCTGGTCTAGAGCTCATTTTCTTTCCAGTGGTCCTCTTATCTTCCTAGAAGGACTAACGGATAAAGCTAATGAAGAAAGGGTAGCCGCAATGTCCCCTCAATTCTCTTGAAATTTCACTCAAGGATTTCAAATTTCAAATTTCACTCAAATTAAAGGAAAACCAAGCCCAGTGCCCCAATTCCAGAATTTGGCCAAAATCCTTTCTTTAGAAAATAGAAATCTCCCTTTGGATCCAGTGAAAACAGACTCATTTCTTTTCTAGGAATCCACGTGGTGTATGATCTTTCCCGAAAACCTGGGGACAGAGTAGTCAAATTAGATGTGCTTTGCACCAAGTGTCGAGTGCCCAGTTACAGTCCTCTTAAAATGGATGAGGTATATAAGGTGATCCTCCCGAACTTCCTGGCCAATGGTGGAGATGGATTCCAGATGATAAAAGATGAATTATTAAAACATGACTCTGGTAAGCACAAGTGTCTCTTCCTTTCCCTATCTCAAAAGTGCTCAAGAACAGCAGAACTGGGAGCCACTCATGGTGCAAGGAGGGCAAAGCCAGAACCCAGATCCTGTCCCTCTGTTGCGGACTCTCTCCTGTTTGCTTGCTGGCAAACAGCGGCACGGCATTGGGAAATACATACCCTCAGGCCCCAGCACACACACACACACACACACACACACACACACAGCCATCTAACCCCAGGAGAAAACCATGTTTAAATAAAAAATATTCTATAATTCTTTTAACTACATCTAAGCAGCTATTTAAATTATTAAATATGAGTTTTACACTCATAGAAAAATCACACCTCTGGAACTTTAGATTGGACATGGAAAACCATCATAGTAAATTATCTCAATATTCTTTCTTGAAGCAGCTTTCAGTGTGAATAGGTCAGGCAGAAGTGGATGGGCTAAGTGCCCTCCTTTCAGCACAGTGGGTTGATGGAACAAATTCTAGGCAAAAGGAAGCCACTTTTTTACATCAGTTGGTATTTTCAACAGCATCGATATGCCAATCTCACTTTTAGAAATGCAATTGAGAGGCACCTCATGTGCATAAAGTCCCCTGATGTAGAACACACTTCCCCTTCTTCCTAGGGCAGGAAGCAACATGCTTACAAGACACACAGGCCCTTCTTGGCACCTCTGGGAAGCTCAACTAGGCTCCTCCTCAGCCTTACCAGAGTGGACCTGCCATTTTAGCTGCCTAATCCAAGGAGGGTGGAGGACAGAGCCAGACCAAAGGAGGCAGCCCTTCCTGGGAGGAAAGGCACTGGCAACTTCTGTCCATTCCATGATAGACGATGGAAGGGCAGGCTTAAAAACCTGACACGAAACGAGGGTGATGTCTGGGCATCACCCAAGCCGAGACTGATGGGTGTTAAAGAGAAGGCAAGCCATGTAGCAGGCCGAGGGAGCCTGGACCCAAGCATTCCCAACCCTGGCTATACATTAAAATCACTTGGGGATCATTTTAAATTAAGTACCAATGTCTTGGCCCCAGCTCTTAAGAGATTCTGACTTAACTGGGTTGGACTAAAGTTTCTTCCAGTGATTCTAATATACACCCAGGAGTGAGAACCACTGCAGAGAGAATTATTTTTTTAAGTATTGGAGTGATACCTTTAAAATAAAATTCTGTTGGGTCTTCATGGGTTTGCTATAGCTATAGGCAATTACTGTATCTTTTTTTTTTTTTTTGTGACAGAGTCTCGCTTTGTTGCCCAGGCTAGAGTGCCGTGGCATTAGCCTAGCTCACAGCAACCTCAAACTCCTGGGCTCAAGCAATCCTTCTGTCTCAGCCTCCCAAGTAGCTGGGACTACAGGCATGTGCCACCATGCCCGACTAATTTTTTCTATATATGTTAGTTGGCCAATTAATTTCTTTCTATTTATAGTAGAGACGGGGTCTCGCTCTTGCTCAGGCTGGTTTCAAACTCCTGACCTCAAGCAATCCGCCCGCCTCAGCCTCCCAGAGTGCTAAGATTACAGGCATGAGCCACCACACCCGGCAATTACTGTATCTTTATCACCTCTTCTTGCTTTTGGAAAAGGAAGCCCCATTGTTCTCCCATCAATTATGTGAAAATAATTCTTGAGTAGACAAACAAAAAGTAGCCACTTTTATCTCTCAACTAATTGTTCTTGACCCAGTTCCCTAAGCCCTTATTCTGGATAGGTTCAAAGACTATGATGGCAACAACCTCTATCTTGAGTCATCTCAGAGCTGAGGCAACTCTACTCTCCCCAATTACACAATAGTGAACAACGGGCACATTTCACATCTGGAACGTGAAAAAGCAATCAAATTCTTTGCACATATGATCACCAGTATCCTGTCTTCTGTGACACTTTACCCCTGCTTAGGAAAGGAATATCTTCCCTTTTATAATTATAAAGGACTTTAAAGAAAAACTTTGGTTTTTCCTCCTCTCTTGCTGTTAATTGATAATTACTTTTTCTGTACTTAAATAATGTATGTATTTTTCTAGGTGACCAAGATATCAACGTGGTTTCTACATACATCTCAAACATGAAAGTAATTTATCCAGCACTTGAAGGTCGGATCAAGTTTTCTGCAGGAAGTCATTGCCATGGAAGCTTTTCTTTATTATTTTTTTCATTTTTGGCAGTGATCTTTGTTGTATACCAATAGCCAAAAATTCTCCATGCCGTTAAGGTGTGAAACTGCATTTTTTTCAAGTGAGATTCAAATCTGCCTTTTAGGGCCTGGCTTTGTGATTACAGACCATCCTTGCAGCTCCTAGAAGCTGAAGCTTATAGCACTGTAAAAGGAAGAGACTGTCATTATCACTCAGGGTCAGCAACACAGTGAATTAGACAGAAAAAAAATTAACATAGGGCCCTCCCTATGAGGAGAAAGCCAACCACCTTTAGTTTCGTATCCAAATTTTAATAAAATTTTATTAACAATTTTAAACCGTAGATAAAGTTTTTCTCCATTATATCCATTTCTAATCCATCAAACAACTTATGTTTACAAAGAACTTTTATCACTTACAAGGGGTTTTAAGCACATTGTCTTATTTGATGCCCAGAACTTTCCTTGGTAGGCAAGACAGATGTTGTTTTTCCCATATGACAGATGAGGAAACTGAAGCTCACAGGGTTGATTTGTTCAAGGCCATACTGCTAAGAGACAGATCTAAGACCTAGGTCTTCTGAACTCAAATCCATCACTTTTCAACTAAATCAAGTTGCTATTCAGAATAATACTTAGTATCTCCTCTCTTCAAAACTATCAGTAGCCCAAAGCTCATGGATGACAAGTCTCTGCTTTATTTCTAGTCTCTCATTTTTTACTTTTTAGCTCCTGTTGCAACATCGAGTTTAATGGACTAAACACAGGGCATCATTCTCTCTTGCATCACCCATGTGCCTTTGATGAGTCAGGGAACAAACTGCAATGGATAATGGGAAAGGCTAGAGGCTGCAAAAGCCAGTCAAGGGACAGGAGAGAAAGGGAAGGGAAGAACAGGACACCAAGGCTAATTTACATTGTAGAAGAGAAAGAACTAAAGGGCAGTTAGATGTGTTAGACAGAGACTTGCTAAGGAGTAGCAGCAAGGTGCCTGACAAGTGGTATCAGCTGTTATTAATTTTTTGAGATTCCATCAGCTCTGCCTCTGTGCTCTTTCTTCTTCCTAACATGAAGGTATCATGAGATGAGAATCTTCTCAGCTAAGCTGTAATTCTAAACCTACACCTGCCCCTCCCCAGCAAGATGCCAGCACTGCACTTAATCTAGTTATACTACACACACCCAGCTATGGAAAATCCAGAGTTCCAGAAGAAAAGAATTGATTTTACGTGATATACATAAGATGTTTGAAGCCACACTGCCTCCAATTCTGAACAATCACTGTAAGTCATTCTCAAGTCCAGACATAAGAATTCCTGCCAGGGAGTGGGCCCCTGAGTGGATGCTCAGGAAATAGCCATACTGATGAAATTATTCCCAAAGAACAAATAATTGCTTACGGCAGTAGTGGAACCATGTGAGCCTGCTCAGCTTTGCCTAACAAGAAATGGGAGCCTTCACCTTAAAAATAGTGAGCAAACAGCAGCTAGAAGCTTGGAGAGGGAGTATGTTTGTTTTTTAACGTTTACAAATATTAAGTACTCTTGATACTTATAAAGATTGTTGCAGTAAAGTAATACCCTCAGTTCTGTGCATTTATAGATTAGCTATTTAAAAAAAACAAACATGTCAGTAAGATTGTACAAGGAAAATTAGAGAAGGTACATTTGGGGTATATTTTTTATGCTTGGCCAGTAAAATAGGATAAATCCTATCAGAACACAATTTTTTAAAGAACATTTTTGTAAGTTTTCTAATTATGTATGTATTATGCAGTGGTATGAGAAATGACCTTGAACCACTTTGCAATTGTAGATTCCAAACAATAAAACTGAAGATATGCTCTTTGATCTCTGATAGTTATTTCTTCTCTCTAACACCTGTAGCTCAAGACAGTATCACTAAAGGAAAGTATCACTAAAGGAAAACTGACAGTTTTTCACTGGTATCATTTCTCTTGATCATAAGCCCCTTAACATCTGATAATCCTTCATCTCTCCACCACAAAAATGAGAAGAAAAATGCAGGCAATTTTTAAGTAGGAGAGAAAAGTGAATATTTTAAGTAAGCGTACCAAATTTTCTGGCTTTGATACACAGAATCTAATCTAGAACTGGTTTTGAGGCCTGTACTAATTTCCTAAAAATAAAAATGTCCAAGTTAGTGTTGAATATTTTCATTATCTGAACTGGCTGTCTAAGAAATCTTCCTCAAGCATTCTGATAACACAATAGGCTGGTCTGATAACACCTTGATCAGACACATTATTTTTTTTAATGTTTTAAAATTTAACTCCAGTGTCTACAGTATGGCTTGTCTGTATTCTGCTGCCTTATGTGGAGGAAAAATAGAAAAACACAACAAGATGAACAAACAAAAATACCAGGCTCATTAAAACCATCTGGTAGCTGTCTTATCCTGTTTGTGCTGCTGTAACAAAATACCATAGCATGAGTGGCTTATAAACAGAAGTTTATTTCTCCTAGTTCTGGAGGCTGAAGAGCCCGAGATCAAGGCACTGGCAGATGCAGTGTCTGCTGAGGGCCTTCTTCATGGTTCATAGATGGCACCTACTTGCTGTGTCCTCACACAATGGAAGAGGCAAGGTAGCTCTGGGGCCTCTTTTATAAGAGGCACTAATCTCATTCTGGGCTGGACACGGTGGCTCATGCCTGTAATCCTAGCACTCTGGGAGGTCGAGGCAGGAGGATCACTTGAGGTCAGGAGCTCAAGACCAGCTCTGAGAAAGAGTGAGACCCCATCTCTACTAAAATTAGAAAAAAAATTAGGTGGGCATGGTGGCACACACCTGTAGTCCTAGCTACTCAGGAGACTGAGGCAGGAGAATCGCTTGAGCCCAGTAGTCTGAGGTTGCTGTGACCTAGGCTGATGCCATGCACTCTAGCCCAAGTGACAGAACCAGACTCTGTCTCAAAAAAAAAAAAAATCTCATTCTGAGCCCTCATGACCCAATCACCTCCCAAAGGCCCAATCTCCTAACACCATGACACTGCTGATTAGGTTTCAACATAGGAATTTTTGGGGGGGACACAAACATTCAGATCATAGCAGTAGTTGCCTTCAGTAGTTTGCTACAAAGAGTAGGTTTGGTTTCTTTGAAGTAAATTTAGGCTGCTGACAGTTGTCCATTAGAAAAAGTTCCTTCCTCACTACACAGATGTGTAGCTTGGCAAGAAGTCATTGCTGCTTGCCAAAATTAGGAAAAGTTCCTTGTATTAGTATTAGTTTCCTGGGACTACCATAACAAAGTGCCACAAACTGGGTAGCTTAAATGACAGAAATTTATTGTTCTGGAAGCTAAAAGTTTTACATCAAGTTGGCAAGGTTGGTTCCTTCTAAGGGCTGTGGGGAGAAAATCTGTTCCATGCCTCTCTCAGCACCCGATAGCCTCAGGCATTCTTCACTTAAAGATGGTATTCTCTCCATGTCTTTATATCCTCTTCCCTTTGTGTACATGTCTGTCTCTGTGGCCAAATTTCTCCTTTTTAGAAGGCCATCAGTCATAATGAATTAGGGCCCACTCTATAATGACTCCATCATGATCATCTGCAAAAACCTATTTCCAAATACTGTCACATTCTGTTACAGGGAGTTAGTATTGATGTCCTGCCACAGGATTTCAACATATTTTTGGAGGACACAATTCAATCCATAACAGTCCCCAACATGACCTACATAATCAGCTGCAGTAGCCCTGAGGCAACCAGAAACTTCTGTGTCCTATATATTTTGCAAATGTAAGCTTATAATTAGGCTGGGTATGGTGGCTCACTCCTGTAATCCTAGCACTCTGGGAGGCCGAGGCAGGTGGATCGCTCGAGGTCACCAGTTTGAGACCAGCCTGAGCAAGAGTGAGACTGTCTCTACTAAAAATAGAAAGAAATTAATTGGCCAACTAAAAATATATAGAAAAAATTATCCAGGCATGATGGCACATGCCTGTAGTCCCAGCTACTCAGGAGGTTGAGGCAGAAGGATCGCCTGAGCCCAGGAGTTTGAGGTTGCTGTGAACTAGGCTGATGCCACGGCACTCTAGCCCGGGCAACAAAGTGAGACTCTGTTTCAAAAAAAAAAAAAAAAGAAAGCTTATAATTAATGTTTTTTGTGCTGGCAAATAGGATACATTTTTAAGTTCCTTTAGCTCCACTAGAGCAAAACAAAAGGAACCTGCTTTCCTAGCCAATTCAGTCCAAAAGAGGAGCTTTAGGTTTTATAACAAATTAGGGGGATCTCAAATCTCTAGTGAATAGTACCTCTGGGATCCCTAAGAACCTAAATTAAATACTTCATGAAAAACATTCAGTTAATAAGCTAGCTAAGGTAGGAAAACAATAAACTCTGATCCATGACAAGGATGTGTGACATATTACAAACAGCAGTGTAACAAATGCAAGAAATTGCCTGGAAAAAAAAAGCAATGAAAATTATACTCGGTTCATTTTTCATTAGGATACTTAGTTGCAAATAAAAAAAAATATGTTATCAGAGACATTATCAAAAGGGTATTAGCTAGCTCCCAGAATCACCAAGAAACTTAAAGTCAGCTTTGAAAATGGACAGCAAGCAAAGAAAACAAGGCATGGCTAAAATTCTGCCAAAGAAACAGTCTTAGTACACAGTCCTGGTGCTGTAGGTCCTGGACAGAGGCTGCAGTGCTGCTGGGTTTGCCTCTAGCACAGCTAACACCCAGAAGAGCCTTTGCCTATTCTTGTGCCTTCTTGCCTCCAACCAGGTAAGAACATCTAATTAATGGAGCCTGGTTCAGGCCCAAGTTGTTTTTACAAAAAAAGAAGGCTGAGTGAGGAATTATTAATAACTCCAGCCTTTTGGCTTCCATAGTAGAAATCAGTGCCCTCTCTCACAAGTGCCTTGGAATACCTCCAAATAAGATGTTCTGATTCTAGGCAGTCAAGAATGTCAAATGGCCCCTATGAATACTCCATACAAAAAAATGTATGAAATGGTAAAAACAAAAACCGTTACCTTCTAAGTCTCTCTTGAACACTATAGTGAGTTCTTAACATCTCCCCAACAATGTACATTCATATATGTGACATCCAGATTTTTATGAAAGCCAAAAATGCCAGGAAAGTAAACAAAACTACAAACTTTTTTGGGTAAGACCGTCATTTAATAATTTGTAAGCATGTGAGTAATGAAATCAGTCCCTCAGATATTTCCAGATATTATTTTATAAAAAATAAATATAGCTAATCAAATTCTTAATTGAGCTTGGTATGTTTAGTTGGATGTTGATTTTTTTTCAGATCTAGATGCCACAGCTGAAGTAAGGAAATCTATACATTTGAAGGATAAACATATGCTTTATTTTACTGGTAAAATCACAATGCACAGACTTTATATATTAGCATTAATACAAATCATGTTCCTGAAAATTTCACTAACTCATCACATTGTGAAATTTTGATTTTGTGTCATAACTAAGAAATGCTTATAGCATCATTCCTGCTCCTCTACAACATAGATGTATTATTACTCTGTTCAAGTTTTCCTCATCTAGCCTTGCCACATCCCTCATCAAAAATCTATCTCTGAGTAAAACTGAAAATATGGGGCTGTAAAATCAGAGATCCCAGACACTATCGCAGAATAAAAGTCATAATGAACAAACTAGTAATGTAACCTCAGTAACCATTATTCTCTAAAAGTACAGCACAGATAACGTAGGCTGCAGGTTCCCTGAATAACTGATCACTGCTTAACTCTACCCCTCCCTATCCTATTAGGAAAGCCCACAACAATACAAGTGACTGAGAGTAGCATTAAAGGGCCAACAAGAAAGACCATACATTTCACATTTGAAACATAAATTTTAACACAGAAACTACAGTACTTAAATTTTATCTCCTGTAACAACTTACTTGCCACCCCTTTGAAACTAATCAAGTAACACCAGTGGGCTCGGTATCAGAGCTTAGACAACTCCTAATGTCCATTAGGTACCAGCTATAAGCTTAATGCCAGGGATGCCTAACAGAGGGAGAAAAATGTTTAACTATTAGAAACATTAATAAATTGTAAACATTAACACAAATCCATATAATTTGTGAAAGATCATTATTCTGAGATCACAGGAATATCTTAAAACTTTTCATCAATATAGAAAATGAAAATACAGAATAATTATAAGCACTTGGTACAATTCAACAGACACAATGCTTTAGTAATGCCATTCTCTACCCCTCTGGCGTTCAGCTCACCTGACAGTTTTCACTCTTGTACTACCCAACTGGATGTGACAAAACTGTATAAAAGTATCCAAACACATTTCCTTATAAGCGAAATTTCAAAGTCACCTATTTTTTTCAGACTTTTGAGCCACTTTTAAAAATTAAATCTCCAAATAAAATAACTTGGCAACCTCCTCCCCATTAGTGAGTTCCTAGAAGTGCTTCCCTGTCCTTGTTGATGCATATTGCTCTAAGCTGCTCAGGGCTTCTCGGAAATTTTTTCAGGTAACCTCATTATCATCCCTCCATGCTGCACCAGTTTTCTCCACTTTGCATTGTTGCAAAATATGGGTATGGTTCTGCCTTCACTCCCAAGAGCAGCTAGTAAAAAACTGTAATAGTAAAACAAAGCTTTACTAAGTAGGAATAACTGGAGAGAATTACAATGAAAAAAAAATTTAACACTCAATATATCAATGCTCCTAAAAAGTATTGACCAAACCTATAACATGGAGTCTCTTTTGGGGTCCCTCTTCAGTTCCCTTACTGGACAGCCCCAGAGCATGGTCCTTGGACCACTTCTCTTTTCTACTTACACTTACTGCCTTGGTGATTTCATCAGGTTTCAGTTAATCTGTATGCTAGTGACTACCAAATTTTGATCTCCAATCTGGATCTCTACCCTGAATTCCAGACTCAAAAAAAAAAACAAATACATCTGCCTATTTGGCATCTCTGATTGGGATGTTTAATAGGCATCTTAGCCATTACATGTCCTAAAATTAATTCTTGATCTTTCTCCCTCAAAATGTGCCAGTAACAGTCTTTTTCATCTCATTTAATGGACCCTTTATCCTTCCTATTGCTCAGATTAAATCTTAGGGGTCATCCCTGGCCACTCCCTTTTTCTCAAACTCACATCCCCTCCATTGGTAAATCCTGTTGTCTTAGTTTAAAAAATAATCAGATTTTGTGGGCTGGGTGTGGTGGCTCATGTATGTAATTCCAGTGCTTTGGAAGGCCGAGGCAGGAGGATCACTTGAGGTCAAGAGTTAGAGACCAGCTAGGGCAATATAGCAAAACCCTGTCTCTACAAAAAAAAAAAATTAAAAATAGCCAGGTGTGGTGGCAGACAACTGTAGTCCCAGCTACTCAGAATACTGAGGTGGGAGGATTCCTAAGCCCAGAAGTTCAAAGTTACAATGAACTATGATCACGCTACTGCACTCCAGCTTGGGTGACAGAGCAAGACCCTGTCTCTAAAACAAAACACAAAAAAATAAAACAATCAGACTTCTACTTCTCAAAAACTCCACAAATACCACCCCAATCTGAATTACTGTCATCTCACCTGAATTACGACAACAGCTTTCTAAATGAGCTCTTTGCCTCTACTTTTATTCCACTTTTTGGAATAAAAAGTGGTCTGTTTTGGTCTATTCTCAACATTCTCAATACAGCAACCAATGTGATTCTGTTAAAATATAAGATCATGCTGCTCATCTGCTCAAAATTTTTCCATCAGACTCCAAGTAAAAATGATAGTTACTGGCCAGGAGTGGTGCCAGCAAGTTAGGTTTCATTTTGAGGCCTATTCTCTTGGATTGTAGGTGGCTGACTTCTTGCTATGTGCTCACACGACCTCTTTGTGCACACAGGGAGAGGTGGAGAGAAATCTTGCTCTCTCTTTCTCTTCTTAAAAGCCCAACAATCCTATTGGATTAGGGTTTCATCCTTATGACCTGTTTAACTTAAATTATCACCTGAAGGCTCCATCTTCAAATATAGTCACATTGGGATTTATGATTTCAACAAATGAATTTTGAGAGGACACAATTCAATCCATAGCAAGGGTGAAATCTACTTAAAGCAAACATGATTTATAAAACTCTATACACACAAAATTATGTGAATTAAATCATTCACATTATAAAAATGGAAAGGAACAAAAATGCAATCCGTATTATCTGATAGGCACTTCATCATCACAGGTATCACTTGGACTTCCCAGCTTCCAGAACTGAGAGAAGTAAATTTCTGTTGTATAAGCCACCAGTCTATGGTATTTTGTCATGGCAACCCAAGCAGACCTGATACACCCATAGCTTCTTTTTCATCTAAATAAACAGAATATCACAACTAAAGAATAGGTTGAGGATGGCATAAAAAGGCATGTAAAATATTTTATTTTTCCAATTCATCCATGACATTTTAAGTAATAATGTTCAAATGCTATGGATTTAAATTTGAATAGTTAGGCTGATTAATTTTCCACCTGCCCATGAGAAGTCAAATGTGTAAGGTTTGGTGTTAAATCACTAATTCACAAAAAATCATATTCTAGAAACTTCAAGTATTTAAAAACAAAATAGAACTGCCAACAAAACCTGTTCAAAAATGTATAACACCTAAGAACCATTTTTGAAGCCTTGGGAAAAATATTAATAGTACACTTGAATGTGTTAGCTCTCCAGATTATATTCAGGTTCTCACATTATACAGCTTAGTGTCTAATATATGGTGGAGTGGTGGAAGCTCAATAAATACATTCTGAAGAAACACTACAACCAATAACCAAATGCAAAATGTCCAATATTGACAGACAAATTTCTTTGAAGAAGAAATGTATAGCATGGTAAGGAATTCCAAGAATTCTAAACATTGAATCTTTAAAAATAGTTTTTAAGTTAACTTTCAAGAAATACAGTTAATTCTGTATGCTTCTTTTGAAGGGATAACAGACAACATAAACCAAAAATCTACTTGTCTAAATTGTTTAAGCAAGCTTTGAGAATATAGTTACACACAATTCAGTGAAACTTAGTTGCAATCACACCACCACAAAGTATCTGTAAGTATTCAGTTTTCACACCCAACGGTGATAACCTGTCAGTCACCCAGCAAGAGTAAGGAAAATCCCTTTATTATAAAAAATTCATATAGGATGTTTTATTTATAGACACACAGTTATTAACTATGTGGAAAATGGGAAAAAAAGGAAAATAAATATACTGAAATGTATCAACTCTATATAAGAAAAGTCAGATCTTACTGTTCCTCCACACTAAATATAATTATTTTCAAAGTGATATAATACAAAGGCTATGAAACTCAGTAACTTTTAATCATTATTAAATTTGTATTAGTCTTTATTAAAACAATCAAAATTTCAGACACTGAAGTACATGATATATACAAGAATATACAAAAGTAAAAGAAAAATGTACATTTCTACTACACTAGCACAGCAGAAATTTCAATGGGTTATTCAATACCAAATCCAAATGTTTACATCCAGGATGTCACAGAGGTAACTTCCTTTTGTACCTAAAGTGAAAATAAATCCATTTAATAGAAGCAACAAGATAAAGGATCATTTGTGAGTTGCCTAACAGCTCTAATGTATTAAATTAGAGCTAAGGTTAAAATTCTAACCTAAGAAATACATATACTGTAAACCAAAAGAAATTGGTTGGCATATGCATGTGACATCTATGTTAGACATAAACCACCATAAGCATGGTGGCTCACGCCTATAATCCTGGCACTCTGGGAGGCTGAGGCAGGTGGACTATTTGAGCTCAGGAGTTCGCGACCAGCCTCAGCAGGAGCGAGACTCCATTTCTACTAAAATGATAGAAAGAAATCAGCTGGACAATTAAAAATATATAGTAAAAAGTAGTTGGGCATGGTGGTGTATGCTTTTAGTCCCAGCTGCTTGGGAGGCTGAGGCAGGAGGATCGCCTGAGCCCAGGAGTTTGAGGTTGCTGTGAGCTAGGCTGATGCCAGGGCATTCTAAGCCCGGGCAACAGAGACTCTAAAAAACAAAATAAAAAAACAAAATAAATAAAATAAAGAGATAAGAAAATGGCAACATATAGTGACAGATCTTATAAAGTCTCAAAGCTGAAAGTTTACTGGAGTTGAATCCCATGTAAACTGAACATAAAATGTCTGTAACTGCCACCCTATTCTAAAACACCCTTAATATAACAATAACTTGAAAGCTTAAAATAGATAAATAGTCCAAATCTGAGTTTTCTCTATTGTACAAAAGTGACATTTCATTGTGATACCACAGCCTTGAAAAATAGTTTTTCATCTAACCAAGAGGATCAGTCAAAAAATAAAATAGAAAATAATGACTTACACTTTTGCTCAAACCCCCAAATCATCAAGATTCAATATAATAATGATATTATCATATTCTAATTTTAATTCATTTTGTGCTCTTGGGTTTACATAAACCCAATTGCTTTAAAAACTACTCAAGTCTCTGACTTACACAGCATACAGTGTTGCAGACTTAAACTCAAACCTTCCTCTAGAAAGGCTGTAAAGGGTCCCTGTGTGTTTGTAATTAGGAAGGATAAAGTCAAAGCAGAGGCTATTCAGTTCCTCTACTACAAAATCCATTCTTACGTTGGACATGTTGAATAAAGAAATTTAAAAAGCCATTAGCTGAGGTTGTTCATTTTTTACAAGATCATAGAGACAAAGGTTTTATTAACCTTTGTGTCCCTAATTAAAAAAAATGTCAGCATACCATTAAGACAGTAACAAATAAAATTGTTTTTTAGTTACCTTATTGAGCTCTGGAAACAGCTCCTGTATCACAATGTCCAACAACACATAAGTAAGCTAAAGCACCAAAATAATAAAAATAATAATAAATTTTAAGTTACTGAACATAAAAACCATAAAAGTGATAAGCACAAAATTGAGGATGGTGGTTACCCCTAAATGGCAAGGCAGGGAATGAGACTGACAATATAAAACATGCAGAAAAGTAGCTTCAAATAGTATCAGTAATGTTTTATTCTTAAATGGGTGGTAGGCACACATGTGTTTGCATGTGAACATTTTATTATTATGCCTCATAACCCATTTTTATGTTAAATATTTTATATGTAATAAAGACTTTAAAGAAATAAGCAGAACACAAAATTCCAACTGTATTAAGATCTCAACAGAATATTATAGACTATAAACATAAAAATGTTAACTGTGGTTATTCTATGTGACTTGAATGATGGAATTACCAATTTTTATTTTTTTTCTGTATTTCATGAATTTTCTATATACTCCAAAATTTCTACAATGATTATATATTAATTTTAAATTGAAACAATTCATGTTATTAAGAAAAAGGAGATCAGCAAAAGAGAGTAACACAAATAAAATACTTAATCTGAATGTCTGAATTACACTGCCTTGATTTAGTATAGTATCACTTACACAACTAATAATATACCACATACCCTTCTGTGTCATTCAACAAACCTAGTCAATACCAGCCTACCAACTCTAATGGATTTTACCTGCTTGTTGAGTACAGGCTGCTGTAAGCCATCAAATAGAAGTCTGATGCTTTCATACTTGGTTTCTTCGCCAATACACTTGACTAACAGATCTACACAAAACAGCCACATGTAGAACAATTTTATATTATAAAGTGATTCATTATTAACTAGATAATAAAGCAAAATTCCCACCTTGTTTCCCAGATAATACGCAAAAACTATCAATCAGTATTTCTCAAACCAGTGCTTTTGCAAGAGGCTCCTGGAAAAATGAGTTCTATGGTCAAGAAATGCAGTATCATGTATCTCACTTTTGGAGTTTCACAATACACAAAAAAGCACACTGAAAGTTCTGAGCAATGTTACAGTAAAAATATCTGCTTATACTATTACATAATAAAGACAGTTGGAAAATAATACATACTGTATTATCCTATCAGTGGAAAATAAAAAAATTAAACTCTAAAATGATATTTGTAGATATACATATAGAAATGCACAGAAAACATCTGCAAGGATTAACACCAAACTGAGCATGAACCTACTTCTACACAGTGGGGAAGAGGATAGCTTCTACCTTTTATTCTATATATTTTCATAAAGTTCTTTTTTTTTTTTTGAGACAGAGTCTCACTTTGTTGCCCAGGCTAGAGTGAGTGCCGTGGAGTCAGCCTAGCTCACAGCAACCTCAAACTCCCGGGCTCAAGCAATCCTACTGCCTCACCCTCCCGAGTGGCTGGGACTTTAGGCATGTGCCACCATGCTCAGCTAATTTTTTCTATATATATTAGTTGGCCAATTAATTTCTTTCTATTTATAGTAGAGATGGGGTCTCACTCTTGCTCAGGCTGGTTTCGAACTCCTGACCTTGAGCAATCCTCCCACCCTGGCCTCCCAGAGTTCTAGGATTACAGGCGTGAGCCACCGTGCCCGGGCCTCATAAAGTTCTTAATATCAGAAAAAAAATTAATTTAATTTTTAAACGTAGACTTTTTACAATGACTATGACCACTTTATTTCTGTACTTTTTACATAAATTGCTATTAATCATCTTAAAGACCAATCATTCTGAAAAACACTACCAATGTTTGAACACTAATTTAGGATCCAAGTTCAGATTGTTGTCCAACTGTGCAGCTGTCATGTACCACGCATATAATTCCTGTTACCAAAAAAGTCAATCCTTATTAAGATCTCCATTTAGGGGTGGGGGGCAAGATGGCTGACCAGAGACATCACTTGCTAGACCACCCCAGAGGGAAGGAAGGGTATCAGATAAAGCAGAGGGGAGAGCGGACGCATCTCAGGTGTGAGAGAGGGAAATGCCAGAGTCTGTAGGGGACCTCATGGAGGAAAACTCCATAGCAGAGAAGGAAGAGGATAAAGGAAACATAGGTCTCAGCGAGGATCAAACTCAAAGAGGCTGGGAGCCCAGTGAAAGAGTACGGGGGGGGGGCCGGGCGCTGTGGCTCACGCCTGTAATCCTAGCTCTTGGGAGGCCGAGGCGGGCGGATTGCTCAAGGTCAGGAGTTCGAAACCAGCCTGAGCAAGAGCGAGACCCCGTCTCTACTATAAATAGAAAGAAATTAATTGGCCAACTGATATATATATATAAAAAAAAAAATTAGCCGGGCATGGTGGCGCATGCCTGTAGTCCCAGCTACCCGGGAGGCCGAGGCAGAAGGATCACTCGAGCCCAGGAGTTTGAGGTTGCTGTGAGCTAGGCTGACGCCACGGCACTCACTCTAGCCCGGGCAACAAAGTGAGACTCTGTCTCAAAAAAAAAAAAAAAAAAAAAGAACGGGGGGGATCCCTTTCTCCCTCCCACATTCCTTCAGTGATCAGAGGGCTGACAAGTTTCTTGGAAGCTTTTCTAACCCTAAGAGCCCAAGCACTGTAGCAACCATGGAACTGTGGGGAGAACTTGCATAATCTCAGAGCTTCGACATTCTGTGCAGGGTTCCCCTTCAAGGAGGGTGATCCAAGAGGCCGGAGAGCCAGCTTTTTTCCATTCAGACTTTTGTCCTTCCCTGCCCCTTCCCCACTCGCTGCAACCAGGAGAGCAGTTTGAGATGAAAATTTGGTGAGCAGCCTACCTCTCCCTAGCTGGTGCCCTTCAGTCTGAGGTTTCCACAGAAAGTGGGGCCCACGTCTTTCCCCTTGAGGACCTGCAGCGGACCTGAGGTGACTGATGTGGGAGCTCCCTTCACTGGCATTTCTCAGAGAAAAAGGCCAGCAGGTCAGACACACAGGCTGGATCCTGTGCCCCCGGGACTCATTCGGGTTGCTGGGAAGGGTGGGGTGGTTTAAGAGTTAGACTCAGGCCAGGGAGCCCACGTGGTGAAACTGACAGGAAAATACTGTGGGGGTCCGAGACACAGTGATCTGGGAAAGCGTCCACCCCTCCTCCAAAGCCATGGTGTTGGACTAGGGTGGGTCCTCCCATGGGAAGATCCTAGCCATAGTGCCATAGCAACTGAGGGCAGGGGCACCTGTTTGCAACCAGAGGTGGTAAGGCAAGAGAAACAGAGCTCACTCCAAACAGCCAGTTGGGGAACTATGACCCCTTCCTCACACACAGCCTTCCTGGTCTGGAAAGCCTGCCTTGGCCCTCCTCCAGTGTCTTTCCCTAGCACCAAGAAAATGACTTTGGAGCCCTGTTGAGACTCAAAGCCATGCCGTTGGACTAGGATCCCCAGCAGGGAAGATACTAGTTCAAAGTGCCATAGCAACCGAGTGTGGCATGTAAACGCATGTCTGTGTGAAACAGACACAGGAGGGCAAGGGTAACTTACACAAGAGGAGCGGAGCTCACTCCCAAAAAAGAGCCAAAAGACTTCTGGAATTGATAAATAAATTCAGCAAAATTTCAGGTTATAAAATCAATGTATACAAATCAGTAGCTTTCCTATACACCAGTAATAATCAAGCTGAGAGTCAAATCAAAGACTCCATACTATTCACAATGGCTACAAAGAAAATAAAATACCTAGGAATATACTTAAGGAGGTGAAAGACCTCTACAAAGAAAACTATGGAACACTAAGGAATCGCAGATGATACAAACAAGTAGAAAAACATATCATGCTCATTGACTGGTACAATCAACATTGTTAAAATGTTCATACTACCTAAAGTGATTTACAGACGTAATGCAATTCCCATCAAAATATCAACATCATATTTCACAGATCTAGAAAAATTAATGCTACACTTTGTGTGGAATCAGGAAAGAGCCCAACTAGCCAAAGCAATCTTAAGCAAAAAGAACAAATCTGGAGTCATCACATTACCTGACTTTAAACTATACTCAAGGCTATGGTAACTATATTCAAGGCTATGATAACGCATATAGCATGGTACTAGTATAAAAACAGAGACACAGACCAATGGAACAGAATAAAGAAATCAGATATAAAATCATCTATTTACAAACCAACTGATCTTTGACAAAGCAGACAACAATGTACACTGGGGAAAAGCCATGTTCAATAAGTAGTGCTGGGAAAATTACGTAACCATATGCAGAAGAATGAAACAGGACCCCTACCTGTCACCACTCACAAAAATTAACTCAAGATGGATAAAAGACTTAGACCTAAGGCATGAAACCATAAGAATTATAGAGGAAAACATAGGAAAAACTCTTCTAGATATCAGCCTAGGCAAACTACCGTGTTTCCCCGAAAATAAGACAGGGTCTTATATTTATTTTTCCTCATGAAGACACCCTAGGGCTTATTTCCAGGGGATGTGTTATTTTTTTTTAAGTACGGTACAACAATCTACATTTATTCAAATATAGTTAAGTCATCTTCTTCTAGAACATCATCATAACTGTCCAAACCCCGAATTCATCCTGAATTTCTTGCAACTCTATTTCCTTTAGAACCATTGGCCCCAATCTCTCATGCCGAGCAATAGAGCTCTCATGGGACAGATGAGAAGGGCTGCTCCATCTTCTTTACCACTCCGCGAAGAAATGTATGGGCTGTGCAGATACACTGTGTAGCCACGCCCATCACTAGGTCTTATTTTCGGGTAGGGCTTATATTGCGCAAATGCTTAGAAATCTTGCTAGGGTTTATTTTATGGGTAGGTCTTATTTTCGGGGAAACACGGTACTTATGACTAAAACCCAAATGACAATCATGGCAACAACAAAAATAAACGGGATATGATTAAACTAAAAAGCTGCTGCACAGTTAAAGAAACAATCAACAGAACAAACAGACAACCTACAGGAGAAAATATTTGTGCAAGCTATCCATTTAATCAAGTGCTAATAACCAGGATTTACAAAGAACTCAAGCAAATCAGCAAGAAAAAAAGAAACAACCCTATTAAAAAGGTCATCCACATTGTTACTAGGATGGAGTGGCAACTTCCAGTTTCTTATGTGCCACGCCAGAAACTGGCAGTCACTCTCTTCTCTTCTTACTCTGTATTTTCTCCTTGGGCATTAATAATCACTCACACATGATTCCCATATCTCTATTAATCTACCCTTTACCACCTTTCCTCCAACTTCCAAACCTAGATATCCAATTGCTTGGATCAGTCTGATTCTGTGTTATTTTTGAAAGAATCTGGCTATAGTGTGAGTAGAAACTGCCTTGTCTTAAAAGTTCTTAGTGCTAACATCAGAAACAAATTTTATATAACTAGTAAGTTAATCTTAATTGGTCCATATAACTATTTCTAAAATAAAAGGCCGGGCGTGGTGGCTCATGCCTGTAATCCTAGCACTCTGGGAGGCTGAGGCGGGTGGATTGCTCGAGGTCAGGAGTTCGAAACCAGCCTGAGCAAGAGCGAGACCCCATCTTTACTATAAATAGAAAGAAATTAATTGGCCAACTAATATAGATAGAAAAAATTAGCCAGGCTTGGTGGCGCATGCCTATAGTCCCAGCGACTCGGGAGGCTGAGGCAGTAGGATTGCTTGAGCCCAGGAGTTTGAGTTTACTGTGAGCTAGGCTGACTCCATGGCACTCACTCTAGCCTGGGCAACAAAGTGAGACTCTGTCTCAATCAATCAATCAATCAATCAATCAATCAATAAATAAATAAAATGAAAACTCACAGTAAAAATCAGCTTCAATAATTACTATATACATTGTGACTTCAAAGGAGTGCTAATCTATATGAAATTAAGCTACTTCTTAAATATTATACCTGGAATGTAATTCATCATTTCTTCAAAAGTCTGTTTTGCTCCTTTTTGCTTTTCATGGAGAGAGCGAGGCTCAGTGTTTTCACAGAATATAGCATCTAAAAAAGAGTAAAAAGAAATATTTATGGAGTTTTCACCTATTTATATACAAAGTAGTCCTCATAGTAGAAATACTAATAAACCAAAAACAAGACTTCTTAGTCTTTTAAATCCAATTAAGATCCCAAAGTACATAAAACATAAACACACAAGAAAACACAAACCTCTAAGAAGTGTTATGAGTGAGACCAAACGGTGTTCCTGAAATAGCTGTTCTAGCTTACACTGAAGATAGTAGTCAGTATACATTTCCAGGGTGTTTTTAAAGAGGATTCGCATTCCCATTAAGAGATGATGAAGCCAGTCAGGAACTTGGAAAACCACCCGTCCTGAAATGGATCAAATGGAATGCCTTATTGTTCCAGATAAATTGATATTTTGAACATTTTCTAATATAGAATGCACAAATGAAATAGTATTTTATCTGTAAATGCTAGCAACTTTAATATGTTCGAGACCAATTATATTGAATTCTTACTAAAAAAAAGTACCTTCAACCAAAAAGAACTTATGATGGGTAATACTTAACAGAAGAAATAAGATAGGTGACTGAAAAACAGGTATTAACATAAACCCCTTAGATCTTACCTACATACATCAAGTAATCGTAGACTCCTTCTACAGTCATCACCTCCATAAAATAATTCTGATTTTGCTTTCTCTCTGTATTCTCAGCACGGTTTGCATTATTCTTAAACAGATCATTGAAAAGCTAAAGTGTAAGTTTAAATAACAAAGACATATTTATTAATAAACACATGCTGTAGATAATCACTAAAGTGACACAGAGCAAAGGCATTTAAACCTTTTACTATCAAAATGGAATATCAGATAGGTTAAGATATGTTTCTAAAATTCCACATTTATGCCCAAAATTGCATTAAAAAATACATGTTTCCCTCAAAATGTTACATAAAAGTCTACATTCATTTTAGGCACAACAGATAATTCATTATTTATAAAGACCCATTCCTTTGTTTTTATATACCAAAAAGAACAAAGTAACACATTAAAATATATAAATATATTACTGATTGTTTATTTTATTTATTTATTATTTATTTATTTTTTATTTATTTATTTTTTTTGAGACAGAGTCTCACTTTGTTGCCCAGGCTAGAGTGAGTGCTACGGTGTCAGCCTAGCTCACAGCAACCTCAAACTCCTGGGCTCAAGCAATCCTCCTACCTCAGCCACCTGAGCAGCTGGGACTACAAGCATGTACTACCATGCCCAGCTAATTTTTTCTATATATACTAGTTATCCAATTAATTTCTTTCTATTTATAGTAGAGACAGGGTCTCGCTCTTACTCAGGTTGATTTTGAACTCCTGAGCTCAAATGATCCGCCCCGCCTCAGCCTCCCAGAGAGCTAGGATTACAGGTGTGAGCCACTGCGCCTGGCCTGATTGTTAATTTTAAAACTAACATGATTTAAAAAGTATAAATCACTAATTAATTTAATGAGTAGAGGTGAAAATTCAGCTTTTAGCAAAGTTTATTTGGACAATAATATTCAAAAACCAGAAAGGCCTAATTGATGTGAAAAAAACAAGATATGAAGAATAATAGTAAAAATTATGAAATGCAAGTAACTCTCACCTCTACTTACTCCAAAACTATGCAAAAAGAATCTACTATCAATAATAATAATAAAATATATTTTAGGTAACTAAGTAACTGAAGCAATATTTTATTCATCCATACATCCATTCAATAAACATTTAGTAAGTAATTTCTATGTGCCAGACCAGATAGCATGCCAAGGGCAAGGAATACAAAAATGGGTCACTATTCTCTAAAAAATTTAACATCTAATAGAAATAGGTTGAGAAAACAAATGAAATGGCATAAAACAGGCATTATGAGAGAAGCAAAGTACAGAGGACTGTGGAGGAAAATATATTCAATTTTATCTGAAGATGAATTTTTTAAAAGCTTCCTAGAAAAGGAAGAGAACACACAGAATACATTCTATTGGCTCTTCTGTCAGATAGTCTTAATGCAGAAGCATAAGCTTAAAACATTTTTCCCCAACCAAAGAAGTATACAAAGGGCTCTGCCTCCTGATACATTCCCCATACTCTTCCACATCCTTAGTTTAATTTTTTCATTAAAAAATAGTAATAGTATAGGAAGTCTGGAAAAGAAGGAGAAAAACAACTCAGCCCCCTAATACTACAACTATCATACTTTGGTATATTCCCCTATAGTCTCTATGTACATACCTGCAATGAGTGGGGTTCAAAAATTATCATGTCATACTTTTTTCACTTAGCACTATATCAGATATCTTTAATTGCTTTTTAGTTTTCAGAAGCACAATTTTACCTGCAGCAAAATATTTCCTGAGCAGATGTTCCTTAAAATAATTAATCATTCCTGTAATGTTGGAGTTTCATGTTGTTTCCGTTTTCATTTCTATAAACAACACTTTAATGAACATCATCATATGTTATAGGCTCTTCTATTATTTTCTTCTGACAAATGCCAAGCATTTGGGTCAGGAGTCAGAAGGCCAAAGAAACAAAAACACCTGATGGATTTTGTTACAAAGTATCAAATTATCTTCCCAAGAGGTTGGGCCCATTTATAAGTAACCAGCAAAGTAAGTTTCTGGTTTGACCAAACTTTCATAAGCTACTTTGCAGACATATCCCCTATATACTAAAATTCACACTGTAGTATAATGACTCTTTCCTTATGTTTCCCCTGAGTAATCTTCTAAAATCCTACCCAATAGGTCTTTCATATTCCACCATTCATTGAAGTATGCATACATAGTGAAGGCCAACAAAAAAGAATTTCACAAAAAGCTGCTACATCTTTTCAAGCAGTTCTGAGTTTCAATCTCTAAGTATAGTCACAACAATCCTGAGAGAGAGGACAAATACTACTAAGACCAATGAATTGCATTTGTGTCTATTTCTTAGGAGACAGAGCTATTACTGAGGAGGGCTGAGAGTTACTCTTGAGAGCCACTTAAAATGATGCTTGAACAGAAAGCAGGAAAAAGTTAATGCCCGTATCTCAATTCCTTCTCTTGAACATTTTAACGTTTTTTACTTTATAATGGTATTTAGTGGAATTTTTGTGTTCAATAAAGATAAATGTAAAGCATCTATTAAAGAAAGCGAAATGTACATTAATATAGATAAACCACAAACAAAATTAACTAAAGCCAAGTTTTCAGCCACTATATCCTTTAAAGCAGTAGATAGGTTAGGTTCTTCTTCTTCTGCCCACCATAGCTCTGCACCTGTATGCACTCACTACTCAAGAACCTTAAGTAGCAAGCAGGGTTTTATAACACAATAAACTCAATTCCTGTTTTGCCTGAAAATGTCTGCAGGGAATAGTAAACCTATTTAAAAAGACAGTAGACTTTGGAGGTCGGGGTGCAAATTATATACATATATATGAATATAACAAAACTTTTAAAAAAGTTTGGATAGGTTTAAACACCAGATCTGCCATTGCTAAAGAGATGGAATTGGAAGACAGATAAAAAAAAACAGACCAGAAAGTAGCACAAACAAAGAAAATAAGAGGAAAAGGTTCAGATACATGAGAAACAAAAGGAGAATTAAATCAGTATTCCAAAAGCTGGTAAGAGAGGGAGCAGGGAAAGGGCAGTATCTAAAAAGGTAATAGCTGAGAATTTTTCAAAACTGGAAAGAGAACAAAGGTAAAAGTAATAGCCCGGTGATCACGCCTCTCTATAGCTACACTCTTGTGCAGTCCCCTCCCACATCAACTCTGGGCTTGGCTACGTGACTTGCTTTCGCTGATGGGCCAAATGTTGATCAAATAAAGTCCTGGAAAGTTGTGTGTTGGGGCCTGCCCTCTTAGAATGCTCGCTGTCACGTAAGCTCAGGATTGCCTGAGGACACATGGCCTAGCCAACAGGCCTCCAACATTCAGACATCTGAATGAGGCTATCTTTGGCCATCCAGTCCAAGAAGAGCCAAGACTGTAGCCCAGTTGAGACCAGTAAACATGCAATACAACTGAGCCAAGCCCAAATTGCTGACACTAGAATCATAAGCAAATAAAATAGATATTTTAAGCCACCAACTTTTGGAGTGAATTTTAACACAATGTACAAGTGACATAAAAATCTGTACCTAAAAGAAGGGTGCTGCCATAACAGAAACCTAACATATAATGGCACTGGCTTTGGAAGCTAGAGGTGGGTAGGCTGGAAAAGTGGCAAGGAGTCTCTTAGTAAAACCTGGAAAAATGACAAACAAGTGTTACTGTAAGTTGGAAAAGCAATGAGGTAGCTATTACTGAAAATGGAAAAACTTAAATCATATGGATTGTGTTCTTTGACCAAAATGTAATTAAACTAGGATTCAATAACAATGGGAAAATGATAACCTGAAACTTCAAAAGTGTTTGGAAATTAAGAAACATTTATAAATAACCCATAGGTCAAAGAAGGAATGATAATGGAAGATTCTGCACTGAATAACAAAATGCTAAATGTAGAATTTATAAGCCATAGTCAAAAACAGATTTAAAGGGAAATGTATATATTTTAATACTTATATTAGAAAAGGCTAAAAATTACTAAGCTCTACCTGAAGAAGTTAAAACTATAATAGAGGCTGGGCGCGGTGGCTCACGCCTGTAATCCTAGCTCTTGGGAGGCCGAGGCGGGCGGATTGCTCAAGGTCAGGAGTTCAAAACCAGCCTGAGCAAGAGCGAGACCCCGTCTCTACTATAAATAGAAAAAATTAATTGGCCAACTGATATATATAAAAAAAATTAGCGGGCATGGTGGCGCATGCCTGTAGTCCAGCTACTCGGAGGCCTGAGGCAGAAGGATCACTCAAGCCCAGGAGTTTGAGGTTGCTGTGAGCTAGGCTGACGCCACGGCACTCACTCTAGCCTGGACAACAAAGTGAGACTCTGTCTCAAAAAAAAAAAAAAAAAAAATTAGAGTCTGGGCTGGGCTCGGTGGCTCACGCCTGTAATCCTAGCTCTCTGGGAGGCCAAGGCGGGTGGATCGTTTGAGCTCAGGAGTTGGAAACCAGCCTGAGCAAGAGCGAGACCCCATCTCTACTATAAATAGAAAGAAATTAATTGGCCAACTAATATATATAGAAAAAAATTAGCCGGGCATGGTGGTGCATGCCTGTAGTCCCAGCTACTCGGGAGGCTGAGGCAGCAGGATCACTTGAGCCCAGGAGATTGAGGTTGCTGTGAGCTAGGCTAACGCCACGGCACTCACTCTAGCCTGGGCAGCAAAGCGAGACTCTGTCTCAAAAAAAAAAAAAAAAAAATAAGAGTCTGATAGAAAACATCAACAAAGCTAAAAGATAAAACAGATAAAATCTTGGCAACATTGATCAAACAACAAAAAAAGAGAAGACAAAGAACGTTGGGAATAAAATGAGACATAACTACAGATGTTAGAGACAATGAAAAGAGAATATTATTGATAACTTCATACCAATAAATTTTCAGATTTAGATAAAATAGAAAATTTATCAAAAAATGTAGCTTATCAAAACTGACTCAAAGTAATAAATGAATTTTATAATTGTTAAGGAAATTAAATTGGCTGTTAAAAAATCAAACAAAATTCGAGGCCGAGATGACTTTACCAAGTTCTATCAAATATTTAAAGAATAACTCCAATTATTATATAAAAATCTATGAGAAAATAGAAAAGGCTAATATAACTTTGATGCCAAAACCTAACATGGATAAAATGAGAAAGAAAAATTATAGGCTATTTCTACCCATAAATATGAACATGAACTTCCTTAACCTTATAAAAGATATCTATCAAAATATCTATACTATACTACTTAATGGTAAAACAACAAAACAATTTCCTTTGTATAGTAGGTTCTAACCAGGAATGAAACAAAACTGCCATGATTTGCAGTTAATTGTGTATATCTAAACAAATTAACAGATATATTACTAAAACTAATACAAGTCTAGCAAGAATGCTGACTAAAAATTAAACATATTTCTGTTTACCCACAACAAAGTTATATGATGAAAAAATATTAAAGATACTATTCATAGTAATAACAAAAATGAAGATGGAAGAAGGGAGCCTGTCCTTCCAGCTCCCGTAACTTCCAATGCTGGGCACTACGCCTTGACACTAAACAGCTTCTTTTTTTTCTTTTCTTTTTTCTTTCTCATCTTGTATTTTTAAAGGGGAACTAGACAGCTTCTTAAGGACAAGGAATATATCTTTATATTCCTAGTGCCTGGCACTCAATAATAGGCACACAATAAAATGTTTATTTAATGAATGGATTAAACATTTTATAGGCTATTAAAATTAGATAATACCATCAAATAAACATAAATACATTATAGCCATTAATTCCTTAATTATCAGAAGTTGGTGATTTACAACCTAAGAAAACCACTTTTAAAAATCCCTCAAACACAGAAATGGTAGAAGTTTGTAAATACAATACCTAAAGAAACACCACATTAAAGCAAAGAACCAAGTAATTACACACAATAGCCTCTGTGTACTGTACAACTGTTTTCCATATAAAGGAAATGTATAGTCCAATCCATTTCATTAACAAAGGATTCATTCTCCTATAATGGAAAAGTCATCTCAAGTAGGACAACTTTAAAATTAATGGCTCTTTAATGCTATATGCAGTACCTTCTTGTTGTTTTCTGAAGTAGGGCTGAGGATGGTCAGTTCTGGTCTACTTGGTTTAGGCTTTGGAGATTCACAAGAGTTAATGAAATTCATGATAAAAGGTTCCAAATGCTGACCTTTCTGTGGTAATACAGAGACCATTTTAAGAAAACAAAAAATCAAGATGATTTTTAATATCATATGATCCATCAAAATTCATCAATATTTAAATATGCTTATGACTGTCATGGTATAAAACACACATAAATCAGTTATTTACCTCTTTCATTAGTTTTCCAGGAACAGACTTTATAATTTTTCCTGTAATTAAAAAAGTAAAACATTATTTTTTATGAAGGCATTATATACTTTATAACTGCTCATGTGAACACTTCACTAGGTAATTTTAAATACTAAATAGCCAAGTAAAAACTGTACAAAGTGTTTACAATTGACTATTTCACACGCAACAGAAATTTTTAATAAATATAATATTCTGAACTATTTATAGATACAACATTTGGGATTTACTTAAAAATAATCCAGAGAGGTAGGAAGTAGGGAAGAGATGGAACAAGGTAAGCGTTGGTAACATGTGAAGTAGACTGAAGAGTTTATTATACAATTTTCTCTACCTTTGTGTTTACTTGAAAATTTCTGTAAGAAGGGTTTTCAAAAGATTTTAAACAATGGTACATATGTACTATATGTAAAGATAGGCAAAAGCTAGTCAAAAGAAAAAAGTTTTAAGAAATCCTCCACATTTAAACTATTTGAATAGTTTATATTCTGAATTTTAGATTAAGAATTTCTAGTCTAATCTATGTTTGACAAAATTACTTCTTAATTTTATCTCCAGGTTCCCTGTAAAATATCAAACACTTTGAGATTTCCTCAAGCATTTAGAAATGACTGTTAAAAATTAATCAAGGCCAGGCATGATGGCTCATGCCTGTAGTCCTAGCAATCTGGGAGGCTGAGGCGGGTGGATTGTTTGAGCTCAGGATTGTTTGAGCTCAGGAGTTCGAGACCAGCCTGAGCAACAGCGAGACCCCGTCTCTACTAAAAAAACAAATAGAAAAAACTTAGCTGGACAACTAAAAAAAATAATATATATATATATATATTAGCTGGGCCTGGTGGCACATGCCTGTAGTCCCAGCAATTCGGGAGGCTGAGGCAGGAGGATCACTTGAGCCCAGGAGTTTGTAATTGCTGTGAGCTAGGCTGACGTCACAGCACTCTAGCCCAGGCAACAGAATGAGACTCTGTCTCAAAAATATATATATATATAAATCAAAATTGACAAATACAATTTAAATTTCTGTCAGGTCAATTTGGAAAAAAGTATAGAGTCATGGCAACAGCAGGAGATATTAATCATAAAAAATAAAAATAGAGATTGTTTTGTGACAAAAAAAATGGAAACTATCCAACCTTCCCACCTGGCTATTTCTGGTTCACGTATCTCTAATAATACCTTCTCCTCTCCCCCTTAGAATGTTCCTAAGATTCTTAAATTATAGGGTTTCATGCCTATGCTTTTTTCTCTCTTCTATGTGTTCTTCCTAAGCCAAATTATTTGCTCAATCTGATTTCAAATATTAATAAAACTCAAATCTCTAATCCTGTCTCTGGGCCTCTCCTGCCTAATAAAATTTCTTCAACTGGATTTTATAAATTCAATAAATTCAAAACTGCTCTTAATTTATTCCCCTATCCCAAAAAGTAACCGCATTCATTCAGTTGTTTAAACAGATCATTTTTCTGCTCCAGTCAAACCTAGTCAATAACCAGGTCTACCCAACTCTATCTCCTTAACACCATGTACAAGAAATATAAAATATCCTCACATTTTTCTCCTGATAAGACCCACATACACCAAATATTTTGGCTCAACTAAATGTATTAATTTGGGGGATACAGACAGAAGCCAAATTACCCACTTGTAATATTTAATTCATTAATTTAGTTCCACATACATACTTAAGATTACATCATATAAAATATATTTAGAAACATTGCTTTTATCCCATATTATTTTCAATAATTTTATTTAAATTTTTCCAGCTTTTATCAGTTGGGTCTGTTTTGAAGTTTTCATAAAAAGAATCATGCTATATATATTCTTTTTTGTCTTGCTTCTTTCATTCAACCTTAAGACACTGACAGCAGCTTCATGTGATAGGTATTCAATGTTATGAATCTATCACAGTTTATCTGTCCATTCTATTGCTGAAAAATATTTGTGCTATTTCTAGTTTTGGCTATTAAAAAAAATGCTATAGGCCAAGCATGGTGGCTCATGCCTGTAATTTCAGCATTTTGGGAGACTGAGGCAGGGAACTGCTTGAGGTCAGGAGTTTGAGACTAGCCTGAGGAACAATGAGAACCCTGTCTCTACAAAAAAAAAAAAAGAAAAAAAAGGAAAATTAGCCAGGCACTGTGGTGTGCTCCTGTAGTCCCAGTTACTCAAGCTACTTGGGAGGCTACAGTAGGAGGATCACTTGAGCCTAGGAGTTTGAGGTTACAGTGAGCTATGTGATACCACTGCACTCTGGCCAAGGCAACAGAGCAAGACTCTGTCTCAAAACAAAACACAAACAAATGTGTGTTTGTTAAACAAGAAAACAATGCTGCTGTGATTAAGGATTAGACATGTAATGGTCTTACACATACATACTCTAGGTTATTCCCAAATACCGATCCTAACTACCTTCAGTATTATCCTCTAAACTGCTGCCAAGGTTCTGTTGCTGAAATGGAAGTCTAATTAGGTGACTCCATTATTTAAAACCTACCAGTGGCTCTTCCTCCCTGTTTATAGAGGATCAAGTCCAATTTTCTTACCATTACACATTTGGCCAAAACTTATCTTTCCAGTCTTGCTCTCTTACATGTACTCTACCTTCTAGGTACTCCAAATGTACCCAGCTGATTCTCTCTTCTATGCCTCTTGTACATGCCAGTCCCTCCAACTGGGATAATCTCCTTATCTATCTATTCCTGCTAATCAAGATCTAGATACATGGGCAGGGCATGGTGGCTCACACCTCTGGGAGGCCGAGGCAAGAGGATTGCGTGAGGTCAGCAATTCAAGATCAGCCTCAGCAAAAGCAAGACCCCGTGTCTACTAAAAACAGAAAGAAATTAGCTGGACAACTAAAAATAGAAAAAATTAGCTGGGCATGGTAGCACACACCTGTAATCCCAGCTACTCAGGAGGCTGAAGCAGGAGGACCACTTAAGCCCAGGAGTTTGAGGTTACTGTGAGCCAGGCTGACGCCATGGCACTCTAGCCGGGGCAACACAGTGAGACTCTGCCTCAAAAAAAAAAAGAGGCCGGGCGCGGTGGCTCACGCCTGTAATCCTAGCTCTCTGGGAGGCCGAGACGGGCGGATTGCTCAAGGTCAGGAGTTCGAAACCAGCCTGAGCAAGAGCGAGACCTCGTCTCTACTATAAATAGAAATAAATTAATTGGCCAACTAATATATATAGAAAAAATTAGCCGGGCATGGTGGCTCATGCCTGTAGTCCCAGCTACTCGGGAGGCTGAGGCAGGAGGATTGCTTGAGCCCAGGAGTTTGAGGTTGCTGTGAGCTAGGCTGACGCCACGGCACTCACTCTAGCCTGGGCAACAAGTGAGACTCTGTCTCAAAAAAAAAAAAAAAAGAAAGATCTGGATGGATGATACCTTCCTAAGATAGCCCTCCCTGATTCCCTAAGCAGAAGCAGCTGTTCCTTTCTTTTAGCTGGATCTTCAAAGATGAGTAACTGTAAACATACAGCTATAGTAGAAGAGCATATAAGGTAAAAGAAAACAGTACCAAAAAAGGCACTGGAGCAAAAGGAACATAGAGGTTCAATTTTGCTATAAAGTGTGAAAGGAAGCAGTAAGAGACAAAAGTGTTAAAAGATACTGTTATCAAAGCACATAGTGATTTTCAAAGGGTTCCAGATTAAGGAATAAAGACTTCCTATGTTAAGAAAGAGAGAGAAATCAAAATTTTTATATATGATCAAAGCTGTACTTTAGGAAGTATAATTAATTAATCTGACTGTGTTATATAAGATAAACTAGTTTAGAGCAGCAGGAGGATGAGAATCCAAGAGACTAGTAGAGAAACTTAGAGTTCAAATAAGAGGCAATGAAAGGCCGGGCATGGTGACTTATGCCTGTAATCTCATCCCTGTAATACCACTTTGGGAGGCTGAGGTGGGAGAATCACTTGAGGCCAGGAGTTCTAGAACAGCCTGGGCAACATAGGAAGATGCCATCTCTACAAACAATTTTAAAAATTAGCCAGGTGTGGGTAGTCCCAGATACTTGGGAGACTGAGGTGGAAGGATTGCCCGAGCCCAGGCATTTGAGGTTGCAGTGAGCTATGATGATGCCACTGCCCTCCAGCCTGGGTGACAGAATGAGACCCTGTCTCTTAAAAAAAAAAAAAAAAGCAGTGAAAAGCTGAATTAAGGAAATGGTAAAGGGTATGAAGAATATGCCAAAGAGGTAAAACTGACAGAATTTGGTGCCTAAAAAGATGTGCAGTGAGAGCATGGGAGAGAAAATCCCAGGTAATGCCAAAGTTTCAAGCATAACTGAGATGACTATACTATCATTAACAAAATTAGATGTTAGTTCTGAAAAGATAACAAGATATCAAGTAGCAACTGATGTCCAATTGGTTATCGAAAAAATATAACTAAAGATCAGACTGTGTTGGAAACATTTGCATATAGGTACAAACTAAAATAACAAGTTACGCTGAGACTGGGAGAAAGATAACTAAGGACACAGCCTTGGGAAACACCTATATTTAGGTGTATAGAGATAGAGGAGGATTGTGCAGGATGGAAATGGAGAAATAGAAAGAGGAGTGAGCCAGCTGAGAGAACAGTATGCATTAATGAACACCAGAGAAGAATTTCTAAAAAAAAAAGAATGCTGCAGAGGGGGTCAAGTAGAGTAAAAAGTGAGAAAATGTCTTGGCCTTTGGTAACAATGAGATCACTGATTATCAGCAGGTGCAATGGGGATTAAGGAGCAGTTTTTAAGCTAGTGGTCTCCAAAGCAAAATGTGTATACCCTAGGGGGTTTGTGAGATAATTCTTTGGAAAATTTTAGAACCACTATTTATTTAATTGAATCCTTTGTTATATTTCTATTTTTTGATATATGCATACAATGTATATAATATATTAATGGTTAGAGAAGATAATCTATCTGGATTTTTGTTGACTTTATTGCTATTTAGACAAACTACAACAAATAATTTATCCAAAACTGATAGCTATAGTTGCTCAAGTATTACAACACAAAAAATAGTTTCTGAAACGTTATCTTCAGAAAATACTAATTTCAATCTCAAATAGTAAAAATTGCAATAAAATGTCTTCAGCACCCCAGCATAGTGCTTTGATTATGAATTTTATTTTGTCATAATAAAAATTAATATATTTTAAAACAGAGCAAATATCTTTCTGATGCATCTTCAATTTCCTTTGAAGTAACACTAGTGAAATTAAGACAATCTACTGACTGAAAATGGTTTTACTAATTACAAAGTTACTTTGAAACTATGGATCAAGATTTTACTTACCTAAATTATTAAAAATAAAATCAAAACAAACGAGAAACACTGAGATTCAAAGCAGAAATGTTTCCACATAGGAAACATTCTCATGTAAAGATTCCATGTCAGAGTTTTATAGCCAACAATTAATTAAACTTTAAATAAAATTCATGTATACAAGTACCATGAAATTTGTTCAGAATGCCATTAAGATTGATTCAGGTTAACTAAAAGCCAGTTTATACAAAGTTCACTTATCTGAATTACTACTACCCCCAAAAAATTAGGCTTTAAGGAATATTTATAATGCTTAAAATAACAAAATAAGGAAGGATATGATATAAACTAAAGAAGAAGGAAAGAGCAGCTAAGCCTTAAACTAAGCCAAATGTCAACTGATCTGGTCTTTTTTGAGATATTTTATGAGACATTTCAAATACCATAGCTATTCACATACGCTGAAAAGACATGTTCATGCATGCTGAAAATACCCTCTCTACTTTCCTTAAATTTAAATTTAGAAAATAAATTTAAATAAAATGCATTGGCTAATACAATTTTTTGTGATAGGACATATGATTAGAAGTGACTGCTTAAATAATCAGAACCCACAAAATGGACAGGTTAAAGTCATTATCTAACAACATGTCTCTAATGCAGAAATAAGGCCCTTGGAGTTCACCACATGGCTATACTATCCAAACTATTTTTCTAAACTAATCTGAAAATGCTCATTCTTTTCTTTTCAGTACTTCCTCTTATACATGATTCTTTAAACTGACTTACCAAGATTTACATCTGGTAGTATCTTATCAAGAAATTGTGTTTCCCCACCATTAGGGGAGAGAAAGTCAGCCAGAAGTTGACTATTACTCAATTCTGGATGCTGTAGAAGTTTCTTGAATGAACAAAAAAAGGAAAACAGTTTAGAAATCTATAAGGGTAATCAAAACCGTATTAAAATGATTTTTTAAAAATTTTACATCCCCAAAAGCTATTTTATATAGAAAAATAACAAAGCAACTGTATTTATAGAGGAAATAGTATAAGACAGTTAGGTAAGAACAATTCAGCCTTTACAGTCCCGGCTCCTCTATATGCTAGCTAGGTGACCACAGAAAAGATCCTAAATTACTCAAGAGTCAGTTTTCTCATCTGTAAAATGGGAATAACAACACTACCTAGTTTATAGTGTCATTATGCAAAGCATTTCACATAGTTATCTGATACACAGGAAGTAAGATTAAATATTAGCTAATATTATTTCCATTTCTCAACTATAAAATAAATATCACAGTATCCTATAACTTCCTTGATAATTAAAAAAGTTGGCATAAAGGATTTTGCAGAAAACTAAATGTAAATTTGTGAAATAACTTGGAAAACCTGTTGTCTGTTCTTGCAACACTACTTTGTAACAAGATAAACTGACTTTTAAAAATCAAAATTAAACTAGTCTAACCTGTTTTCTAACTATGAAACAGTTACAAAACTTTATGAGCAGAAATCCACATAAAATACCAGTATAGCAATCTCTAATATAAGTCCATATTACCAGAAAATATTTGTTCTAGAATGAGATACTCTCTAGTTCTTAAAAAAATAATTAGTTAAAATAATGGGTTAATAGATCAACAAAGAAACAGGTTTATGTTATACCAAAACAGCCCTACAACAATTAATTCACACTTCAATCTTTGTACCACCAAAAAGCTATAAGGTAAATACTTGAAATTGAAAGCATTCAACAGTTCAGATAGAGGAAATAAAATGCAAATATATCTTTACACTGCTTAATATTTTCAATTTAAAAAGTACTTATTTTTGCCTAGGAGGCATCCAAATTTAACTGAATCAACAATAAAAAACTATAAAATGCTATGTTCCAATAAAAGAAACTTTTTTTAAAGCAATTAAAAGCATCCTCTCTTTGGTGTTATACACTTGATAAAGAAAGATGGTCATTAATTTTGAAGAGTCAGATATCTCAAATGAGTAACTTTTATGCTGACTATCCTATCTACTGAAATAATATACCAATTACATTTTAACATAATGTAATGTGCACACATGGAGGAATTCAATTCCAAGCAGTAAATGATAAATAGTTGATCCCTCTCCAAAGAAACTGAAAAAGCACCTAGGAACTTCAAAAGAAAATGTACTAAGGAATAAAACAGGAGAAAGATTCCAAAGTTCAGAAAGTACTAAAGACAAAATCAAACAAAAAACAGAACAAAACAACAACAAAAACTACTCAGTATTCTCAGAATGCATTTCATCTTTTACACTAAAAGTTTTTATTTTTTTTAACTTCCCATACCAAGTTTTAATTAGCTTAAAACTAATTAAAAAAGACTTTTTTCCCAAAAAAGCATCTGATATTTCATTGGTTATCAATTTAAAAGAAAGTATACTGTTGACAAAAATTCATTTTAAAATCCACATGGAAAAAATATTTTAAATAAAACGTTTTAAAAATCCACATGGACAGGTATTTATAAAGCAAAGCACATATATACAAGAGAGAAAGAGACAAATTAGAGAATACAACAATTAGCAATGTTTTAAATTAGTAACATAGTTGGTGCTATCTATACCTGTAGATATTCCTGAAACTCTTCTCTCTTTGACTTTAAGAATTCGTAATTTTTGGGGCCAATGATCCTCTTAGAAGGAAGCTGGGCATCAGGAAATGTGCCTGAAATAAGTACATTTACAAGTCATTACTATATTCTGCTACTATTTTTAAAACCTAATGCAAACTCAGATCTACAACACTGCCTTGTAGAGATATGACATTATTCTATAAATAATCTTCATAAAATCAGTTTCAATTCAGAAGTCCAAAGAACCTGAGTCTCCTAATATCCAAAATATTACTCTCTCAACAATTACTCTTCGTTGACAAAGATTTGTTAGTCTTCTGCTCTAGTAAAATAACTTCAAAAAATGATCATGATATTATTTTGAAATTGGTAAGATTCTATAAGACAGAATACTTCTTTTACAAATGACGTATCTACTCTTTCATGAAGAAAACGGTAGCATTTTGTCAATGGTATATAGGCTTAAAAAACAAATGCAAAAACCACAAATGTGCTTTCTCGGACAGGGCTAACTTTGGAAATTTAGCATCAAAAAGGAACAATATCCTAGCTCTTGGGAGGCCGAGGCGGGCGGATTGCTCAAGGTCAGGAGTTCAAAACCAGCCTGAGCAAGAGCGAGACCCCATTGGCCAACTGATATATATATATAAAAAATTAGCCGGGCATAGTGGCACATGCCTGTAGTCCCAGCTACTCGGGAGGCTGAGGCAGAAGGATCACTCGAGCCCAGGAGTTTGAGGTTGCTGTGAGCTAGGCTGATGCCACGGCACTCACTCTAGCCTGGACAACAAAGTGAGACTCTGTCTCAAAAAAAAAAAAAAAAAAAAAGGAACAATATAAAATAAATATATATATATATAAATATTTTTTTTTTTTTTAAAAAAGGAACAATAATGTTGGGAACTCAACCAACTTTGTTTGGTTGATCCAGAATTTTAGAGTACAGAGATAAATGATCTTCTCTCAGCCTTAAACAAAGCAAAAGTTTCAGAGAAAAAACAAGACAAGGATAGCACAGCACCATATTGGCAAAGAGAAAGAAAAAACCATTTGAAGTACAAACTCAAAATCTAGGCAAAAACTATGGAGTGGTATCCTGCATTCTTTATCTTCCCATAATAATCACCTTATCACAGGTTTGCTTTCATAGCAGGGTAAAAAAGGTTCCTTGCCCTTCTCAATGTAGAACCAACCTGAATTTGAATCACAGGACACTCCACAGAGCTTTTCTAAAATAAAAAGATTCAGAACACACAAATAAAACTCACCAAGCTACATAAAGAGCTTCATAACTATATCCTGATATTAATTAAATAAACTGATGAAAGAGTGAGAAGAACTAAAAAGGAAGAATGCTCTTCTTTTCCAATTGATTTCTCCTCAAAAGAAACATTCGACCACAAGTTTTATACATCTAAATCTAAGAGCTAAATCAGGACATTTGCCAGGATGCATAGCAAACTTGTTTACTAAAAAAGATGGTGGGAAGCAACTCTGAAATGCCTGGTTTAAATTCTCTGCCAAGTCAAGATAAAAATTAAACTGGACAGAGAACTTTTTCTAAAATATAGTTAAAGAAGAGCTATCTTTTAAATTTAATCATCAAAAAAGCCATAAATGTGTATTTACAAAAACTTTAAAAATGTAGATAAGCAAAAATAAGAAGATAAAAACAGTACATTTCTATTACCAACATAAGTGTACACAAGTGTCACTATATTTCTTTGGTATAATTACTTTAAAAATTAATCTGGTTTAACAGCTTTAAAGAGTGTTAATGCTGAAATGTAATGTTTTATCCAAAAAGAAGAACATACCATGAAATTCTGTTAGTTTTGATTCCAGTACATAGAATTCAAGGTATCTTCTATAGACAGACCAATGTTCAGGCTCATGCCCAACTGTAAATTGAACAAATATACACTGAGTAACAGTTTTACAATCCAGTACACTAAAAGGATGTAGTATTTAAAAAATTAAGAATACAAAGCTGGAAATTATTCCACAGTCTTAGTAAGTCATATATTTTTGGCATCACTTTATTAACATTTTATCCCATATTTTAATTAATTACCTAGAAGAGACTGATTAATTTCATCTATTTATGATGTTATCTCAAGAAAATATATTTTTATACAACAGAATCATAGGGCAGACAGAAACCTTAAAAAATTATATCATTACGGTTATTTTTTAAATGTCATCAAAATGATATATTTCATAAAAATTTGTGACTAATTTTGGGTCTCTCAAATATTTACCATGCTGTCCTGATCTAATACAGTATAAAGCAGTGTTATCCAATAGAACTTTCTGCAATTACGAAAATGTTCTATGGATCTGAATTAATATAGTAACCACCAGCCACACAATGCCATTGAACACGTGAAATGTGGCTAGTATAATCAAGGAATTGAAGTTGTAATATAATTTTATTTTATTTACCACATGTGGCTAGTAGCTACCAAATTGGACAGCACAACCTAATGGTTTAAAGAATGAATATGGAGTCAGACTGCCTATTCTAATCCCAGTGCCCACCATTTACTAACCATGTGGCCTTGAATAAATAAACTCACCATAGTTTGCTCAGATGTAGAATAATTATGCCTATCACATATAATAATCCACATAAAACACTTCTGTACAGTACACAGCACAGCAAGCAACCCAAAAATGTTAATTGCTATTGGTAGCATTTCATATCATTCTAGTATAGATTTGAGAATGCACTGGATGAAGTCAAGCAACACCATAATCACCCCAAAACAACACTTCTTTTTATTCAGAAAAAAACAAACCCTAGTTTTCTTATTTCACATTGGTCTTAAAAGCTCTATACTGGGCCAGGCACGGTGGCTCATACCTGTAATCCTGGCACTCTGGGAGGCCAAGGCGGGAGGATTACTCAAGGTCAGGAGTTCGAAACCAGCCTGAGCAAGAGTGAGACCCCCGTCTCTACTATAAATAGAAAGAAATGAATTGGCCAACTAATATAGACAGAAAAAATTAGCTGGGCATGGTGGCGCATGCCAGTAGTCCCAGCTACTCGGGAGGCTGAGGCAGAAGGATTGCTTGAAGCCCAGGAGTTTGAGGTTGCTGTGAGCTAGGCTGACGCCGTAGCACTCTAGCCCGGGCAATGGTGTGAGATTCTCTCAGAAAAAAAAAGCACTCTATACTATATTTAGGTTTGGTTTTTAAAATCCTAAAATTGCTATTTTGCTAACATATAAAATCATTATAGAAGATGATATACTTTTTTCTCCCTCATAGGCCATAGTTTCCTATGAGCATATTACATTGACAGTATAAGTCTGCAACACTGCTGACAAAAATTACTTTTAAAATATAAGTTTTAAGATTGTTTGGTTTTAATTTAATGTTTAAATTACTAAGCCATAAATTACTATAATTAACGTTTAAATTATTAACCTCTTAAAATGAAGCACAAAATTTAAAGATGGTTGTCCCAAAGGCAAAAACCAAAGTATATTCCCAAACAAAAGTAAGTTGGAAACTGAAATCAGACTGTAATACTGACAATGGCTTGGCTATACACCTAGTAGAATGTGGAGAAAACAGCAACTAGGAAGAATGAACAGCAACTATAGCAAAATCAAGTAGCACTGCCTACAACTTGCAGAGAGCAAGACCCTGCTTGGTAACTAGTTACAACAGGAAAAATCATAGCTAACTATCTTGAGCACACTTCTGTCCCTTCTGTTTTATGTTCTTGAAATAGGATCAGCTTCTAAAAAAATCAGAAAACCTAATACTTTTTGAAAAATAAACAGAATGATTAGATCTCACACTACCACTTAGTTACTCCCACTCAGAACCATTTCCTAACATTGCAAATTTTTTTCCTTCTTTCCTCACAGACAGTTACCTCTTCCTAAGCTCAACTTAATTTTTCTGTTCATCATTCCCAAAATGTGCACACAACTTTGTGCTTTTCCCACTAACTGCCTCACCTCTTGGACAAAGCCTAGAATGGTGACTGTTTATCTCACTACAAATGCTGTTTAACCCTTGTCTCCATTATAGTCCACATGTGAAACAACTGAAAGAAAAAATACTGCAAAACATGAAGAAAACTTGTAGAATTGAGTCTGACCATCTTTTCGTAGATTCTAATTAGCCCACAACAAGGAGGGAGGCGAAATGCTATCTTAATTTTTTTTTTTTTTTTGAGACACAGTCTCGCTTTGTTGCCCAGGCTAGAGTGAGTGCCATGGCGTCAGCCTAGCTCACAGCAACCTCAAACTCCTGGGCTCAAGCAATCCTGCTGCCTCAGCCTCTAAAGTAGCTGGGACTACAGGCATGCGCCACCATGCCTGGCTCATTTTTTCTATCTATATTAGTTGGCCAATTCATTTCTTTCTATTTATAGTAGAGACAGGGTCTCGCTCTTGCTCAGGCTGGTTTCGAACTCCTGACCTCCAGCGATCCTCCCACCTTGGTCTCCCAGAGTGCTAGGATTACAGGGGTGAGCCACCGCACCCGGCCTATCTTAATTAAATTAATACCTGATATAGTCTTATCTGCATTAATGATAATTAATTAAGTATAATGGTTAATGATGATGGCAACAAACCCATTTAAAAAACATTATATAAAAAGCCTTGCTAGACTATCAGGTGTCTAGCAGGCATCTACTCAACAAGTATTGGTTGAACGAATTAATTAGTTAACTGTTAACAGAGATAACCTAAGAAATCCTAAGTTGTCACTGATTTTCTGTTCTGGACATTTATCTTTTGGATATATAGTCACATTTGCTAGTGGGAATCTTTTAAGAAATGTACTCAAACGTTCCTACCTGCTCTTCTATCATTTCTTTCAACATCAATACAAAACACAGGAATTCTCTCTTTTTTCTCCTTCCTTTCAGAGGAGGGATCCTCAAAAAAATCTACATATGGAATACTAATTTTCCATGCAGCCAGGTTTCGGGGAGTATTAGGGGTGCTCACAGCCTCCACTGGAGAATCATCTTCCATTACAACAATACCTTCTTCAATCTGGAAAAAGATTACCAGGATGAATTTAATATTTCCAGTACCTTTAAGACTATAGCATATGAGTTACAACTATTACTATAAAGTAATAAGCCCATATCAATTTGATAATTTTTAAAACTTAGAAATTAATGAATTTTCTACTAAAAAAGTAAAAAGTTAAAAACAAGTTACTACCATCAAATCCAAGTTTTATTATATCACCTATACATGACAATACAATAAAAAATAGAGAATAGACACTTCAAGATTATGAAAAAATATTAAAAATACACAAATATAGAAAAATGTTCAACCTTGGTGAAAAGAAATAAAAATTAATTTACTTCTTTGTCTGTTGTCTTTCATTTAAAAAAGAAAAAATTAATATACTGATATTTTTCATTTAGAAATATAAAATTTTATAAATGATAACAGCCATTGATGGAGACTGCACAGATAAACTAGATCTGTGATATACTGTTGGTTACGAGGTATACTGGCACAACCCTTCTGGAAAGAGTTTTGGCAATATGTACCTATAAAGAGCCATAAAACAGTTTCCAATGAATAACTCCATTTCTGAGAGTTTATTATAATATAAATATTTACTCCAAAAATTTTTTTTCAAACTTTGAAAAAGGCACAAGTATAAATATATTCACTGCAGCATTAAATAATATAAAATTGGGAAAAAAGTCTAAAAGGAACCCACCTCTATAGAATTGTTTTTTATTTCCTCATTTCTGAAGTTTTAACAATATAAATGCTTGAAACACTAAATATTTTAACAACAATTAAAAAAAAACTATATGCTCTAGAAATATACACATTAACACAGGGGGAAAAAAATCTAATTCTTTACATTGGAAGAGACTCTTTGAACCTGGCATATTATAAACATCTATTCACCTAGACATCTCTTATTCATGTTAAAGGAGGCAAAGTATTACAGATAAAATACATTCATCTTCAACCACACTTTTTTTAAGTCAATGAGTCAGTTTGCAGCACTTAAGAGAATTCTCAATAGCCCAGTCAGAGCAAACCAGTAGTGGGGAGGAATTTATTTCCAGAATTCTAACACCATACCTTCACTCTCAGTTCTTTCCTACTTTCACCCCCAGTTCTTTCTTCCCACACCTCACACTCACCTCTGTTCTATGAAAATTCCTTTCCTCCATGAAGCCCCTTTGCTTTTTTCTGTTCTTATCCTAAATAACTTTCCATAATCCTTAATAAGACTGTTAATGATCTTAGGAGGACTTCTTAATGCTCTGTTAAGAACAACTTCAAGGCCACAAAAAGTAAAACTATAAAAACAGATGACAGATACTGAGTTTTGCCTTTTAAGGGACAAGGTTATCTCCTTATAAACTTGGAAGAAAACAGAAATATGTGAGGGAAATGTCCACTCCACTGCTTAGAACCTGAGGTTCAAGGCAGCATTTTCCATGGTTATTACAACCATATTTTTGTTAATGGATCTGGCTTCTGAGGAGAGGGAGATCACAAAATGTTTAATAAACTGACTAAAAGCCAAAAACTGAGATATTCTTAAATAAAAACAAGCCCCTCCAAATCAATCTAGGAAACAAAATGGGAGATCAAAATTCTTAGCAACATAAAAATATCGATGAAAAATAAAGGACAACATTTTGCAATTTTCTATGGTTACCACTGAAATGATGTTTATATCTATAAAGTCTAATGTAAAATCTCTAGGGTAATATTTCTGTTAAGAATTTTCAGAGCTTCCTTTATGTTATTTGAAACTAAGTAAATACTGTAATCAAAATGTTAATAAAGCAAAATGAAGTACTTTTTTGTTTTCAAAGAGATGCTCTCTCTACCAAGAGGATGGGGATTAAGGACGGCAGAGCTAAAAGACAAGGTGTCCCCCTATTTCCTTAAGAAATGTTAATGTTTCTTATTATTATCTTTTCCTACATGGAGGTAACTGCCAACCTACCAATGAGCATATTATATTCTAGAAGTTTATTTGTTAATTAGTTCTGAACTTCGATAGAAATGCATTTTCAGACAGACCAACCCAATCTTACATACTAGGCTTTGATTCTCAGGCCAGCCATATGCTTATTTAATCCAAACTTGCATTCATATAGTTACAAGAATCGATGGTATTACAATACTGCGTAGTACTTACAGTACTTACTATGTGCAAGGCACTATTCTTAGTGCTTCATACATATTGTTTAATCCTCCTCACAACATCCTTATATAAGATAGATACTATTATCTCCATTTCACAGGTGAGAAAACCAAATCACAATAAAATAAAGCTACTTGACCAAGATCACACAGCAAGTAGGCATTGCTGACAAATGGTCACAACGATGTTTCTAAAAAATAATGTATCCCAGGTCCTAATTGAAGATTGCAAACCACTTTATCCCTGGCAGTGAGACTGTCAACTTCTCTCCCCTCAACTTCCTACACACACAAAGAACATTCTCCGAGGTCCCACAGATTAGGAGTAACTAAGTGCGTTCTAAATCCTAAGTGGCTCTATCTTAGTCAGTATCCTACTACCCCTGCCTTCTCTTCTGAGAGCTGGATTATGGATTAGTTTGTCTGCTTCTCCTACTTTCTGTTATTGTTATCTTTATTTCCAGTCAAGAATTTCCTTCTTCATTGGGCCACCACAAAACAGAATGAAATCCCTCACTTTTTAAACATACCCTGCTATTCCTGAAAGAAAAGTGTAACTTGTATGTCAAGCAATCAAGGAAGGCAAAAAATAAAAAGTACATCTTCCTCCAGAAAAATCAAGTTTTAAAAGTTCATAATAGGCCGGGCGCGGTGGCTCACGCCTGTAATCCTAGCAGGCGGGCGGATTGCTCGAGGTCAGGAGTTCGAAACCAGCCTGAGCAAGAGTGAGACCCCGTCTCTACTATAAATAGAAAGAAATTAATTGGCCAACTAATATATATAAAAAATTAGCCGGGCATGGTGGCGAATGCCTGTAGTCCCAGCTACTTGGGAGGCTGAGGCAGGAGGATTGCTTGAGCCAGGAGTTTGAGGTTGCTGTGAGCTAGGCTGACGCCACAGCACTCACTCTAGCCTGGGCAACAAAGCGAGACTCTGTCTCAAAAAAAAAAAAAAAAAAAAGTTCATAATAACATGGGTAAGTACTTATAATAGAAGTGGTTATTGGGTGATAGGATTATGAGTGCTATTTAAAATTTTTTTCTACTTTTCTATATTATTAAAAATTGAGATCGCTACTAACAAGAAAATAAAATTGAGAATATGCCTAAAATTAGAAAAACATTATTTTGAAAAAGGCTCCTTTCTTTGATCTACTGTCTTTTTTCTACCCAGACTTTTAAGGAAAAGTAAGGGCATCAAAAGAAAAAAAAATGCTATATTTTTATTATCAAAAAAGGGCTTAAATAGATTTTCTTCCATTTAAAGTATCACAAAGTATCAGTGAACCTCCTTAATAATTCATCAGTACAATGGGACAGTGTAGTCAAAAGGAAGAGGTAAAAGGAAGAAAGGGGTTTATTTACTCTTTCTCCCCACCTCTCCTTCTACTTGGTCACTGTCAATCCAATCAGTACTATTAATATTCATCCCTTTTATACCCAGGTTAGTGAATTTCTTAAGGACAACATCTATGTCTTGATCATCTTCTTATCCCCAGTGCCCATAGTTATTAAAAGGCAAAATGAGGATCCAAGATAAGATTCAAGAAGATCTATTGAACAAATGAAAAGTACAAATGAGACAATATCTGCCTTTATGTGACTATCATAGGGGAGACTATCATAAACATATAATTTCAAATACATGATGGTACATGCTATAACATATAACAGGTACACAAAAAGAAGAAATGTTCAGTTCTACTTGGGACTTAGGTAAGGGTTTATGGGGAGCAGCAGAGTTTTAAAAGATAAATATGTATTTTCTAGGTAAATGAGGAAGGAAAGGCATTTCAAGCAGAGCAACATGTGTAAAGGTACAAAGAAATAAAATAGCGTGGTAAGTGAAATGTGCATATAAATCAACTGGAGACTTTGTTATAATGCAAATGGATTCAGTAAGTCTAGGATGGGGCCTGAGATTCTATAGTAATACAAGCTCCCAGGTAATGCCAATGCTGTTGTTCCACAGCAAAGGTTAGGGCATCTATTAACAACTCTGTATACCCGAAGTATAGCGTGGGAAAGGGATAACATCAGAATCCGAAACCTAACCAAAGGCGGTAAATTGTTTGACTGCTAGAAGTATCTCAGCTTTACAGGAACCACTCTGCCTTATTAAGCAATAATGTAGTACTCAGAAATTTTAAGAATCAGATTAGCACCATGACATTATAACCACTAACGAAAGAATGAGAAAGATAAAGTCTGAAGAAACAGATAAAGAATGGAAAAATAACAAGTGAGCATATCTAATTTTTTATGCTATAGTAAATCTGAAATTATATGTAAATCAAATTGAAGAATTTTTACTTACAAAATCATCTTCACCTTCAGCTAACCCATAATTAGGCAACATAGCTCCCTCCATTGTGGTACTCTTAAATACTCCTTTAATTTTGCTACCTATTCTGCTGATTCCAAATGATTCTCCTCTTTTCTGTGTGCTCCTAAATATTAAACAAAAATGTATCAAGTACATAGCAAATTACCACAATAGTCTATTTACTATAAACAATCTTAATAAAAAGAAAAATAGTTTTGAAAATGATAAACTAACAATATGGCTAACATAATTTTTGGAGTTTCAGGCATACATTAAGTATCAACATTTCAGAAGCCAAAAAAACATTTTAAGTTCAAATTTGGGGGACGAATAAACAATATTAATAAATATTTGAAATTTACCTACTACAAACTTTGAAACATTAACTGAACTAAAATTTTTAAAAGATGAAATCTCCCTAGTGGTATAAAGTTTATATTGCCATACTTTGAAATAACATACAAAAATGTGTAAGATCTGTTCAAAACAGAATATCCATTTAGAAAAACTGTACTTATAAAATAAAGCAAAAAATATATAAATAACTCTGACCTTCTCAGTACTTCATTTTCACATCGAAACAAAAAAAATTTTCTTTTGTAACTTACAAAGGTTTAAGAAAAATTCAATTTTATAATTATATAAATATTCAAAATAGGATTGAGGTATAAAATGTATCTTATTTAACTTCAAAGTAATAAAAAGAAAAGATAAAATGCCAAAGGGAAGAGTTGGCAATGAATATAAGGATAAAAGCAAATGTTGCCCAAGGAAGCAGCTTGCTCTATCATAAATATTAAATGTTAGTTTTGCAATTTTTTTCAAAAGTGAATTTCTAAAAGCCGAAACAGCTGAAAAACAACAAAATTGAAAAGTTAAAAATAGTGAAAATTTCCTCCACTAGAGGCTACTGCTCGATGTTTCAGCAAATAAAACTGTAACTTTTATCCAATTTAAAACTCATGTTCACAATGCAATACTACTGTTAAAACAGATACCCAAATAAAAATGGTTATTTTAAAATCTGAGCAAGTTTATTTTCAATGCTTTACTTAACGTATAGCTATTATTCCTATAAGCAAAATTTAAGTTATCTACTGATGTAATACAATTACAGAATAAACTGATCAAGTTTCACATATACCAACTGTATAGTGACGTGTATTTTACATATGTCCGAGAAACAATCAAACTTATTCTAAAACTGAAAAAACACTAAGTAGTAAGTAGTAAAAAGGGTATTTAAACTACTTTATATTATCTAAACAAGTACATAATTAGTGTTTTATAAAAAATCCACAATTATAGACACAGGCCTGATAGAAGAAATGTTTCTAAAGACAAATATCAAAATGTTGACAAAATATTACGAAAAAATCTCTAGAATCTAGATAATTATAGTCTTTAGAACCTAGAGATTATAAAATAATTAGGATTTTTGAAATATAACATTTAAAAAGTATCTCACTTGTGATTATGCCCAGAAATACAGAAACATCATTATACTTCTTAAGGGAAAAAAAAAGCTCTTTAAACATAAAAAATTCTAAAAATAATTTAGCAAAATCGAAAACAATAAAAATTAGTCAACAGCCTTGAAACGTAAGATACTGACAAAATACATAATGAAAACATCTTAAAAGTATCAGGATATTCTTATTTTATGATGGAATATACCATGCTATTTCAAAAATGAGATATTTAGAATCAAAGAAGAAATTCACTTTAAAAAATTATCCTAAATAACTGATACAAAGGCAGTAAAACCACAGTATTTCATTCTTTCCCTTTTTAGTTGTAATTAAGTTATTTGGAATGTACTTTCTGAATTTAAACAGATAATACTGAAAAGAATCACATGCTTAAGACTTACCGAAAATCATCCAAACTTAGGCTACCTCTGCAATAACAGATATGTGAAGTTATGTAAGGAGAAGAAAGAGAGAAAGCCCAGATATTAAACAAATTTCACTTTAGAACACAAAACAAAATTTAAAAGCTTTAAAAGTTACACAGGATAGCATTCACCTTTGCAAAGAGAAGAAATCCTTAAGAATTCACCTTTGCAAAGAGAAGAAATCCTTAAGAATAACATGATAAATGTAAGAGAAACACATGGCTGTTTTTGTATTTGAAGGTATTAAGTCTACATTATTACAAAAAAGTTGTTAAAAATTCAAAAAATCAGGAAATAATTCTGTCTTTTTTAGTCTTTAGGCATACCATTTGTTTGACACAGTGGAAAGTATGCAGAGACTAAGCCACCAAAAACTTGGCACAAAAAACAAACCCATATTTTCCAACATGGAATTCATGTCCTTGTTAGATACAATCATTCATGCTTCACATGTCTTTTTGGGTTTTTTGTTTTTGTTTTTGTTTTTGTTTGAGACAGAGTCTCACTCTGTTGCCTGGAGTAGAGTGCCACGGCATCAGCCTCGTTCACTACAACCTCAAACTCCTGGCCTTAAGCAATCCTCCTGCCCCCACCTCCCAAAGTGCTAGGATTACAGGGGGAGCCACTGTGCCCGGCCTATGCTTCACGTATTTTTAACTTATTTTAAAAAGTAGGTTTTAAGCTAAGAAGCAAAATTAACAAAAGATCCCTAAATATTAAAAAACAAAAGTTATGCATTAGATACATAATGAAACAGAGAACAAGATAAATAATATGCATTAAAATTTTATTTTAAAAATACAAATACAAAGTAGACCTAAAATATATGAATAAATAAATATTTTATATATTTTAAGTCACTTAACAGCAAATTAGCAAAGGTACTCTAAATTTCCAGTGAAAGAATGTTAAGAAATTCTTTCACTTATTCTATATAGGTAAATGAATGATTTAGTATCACAGAAGCAAAGTCCAAGACTGTTAGTTAATGCTAAAATCAGATCAACATAAAGAAAAACATAGTTTAGAAAGTCATAATCAGTACCCAGAATGAGAAGAACCCACATTTCCTTCTTGTCTTTCTTATATTTTAAAGCCAACAAAATTAGTGCCTTAATATGCTGAAGACAATCAGGTGTTCTTAAAGTGGCACAGAAAACTTTCCATCTTTGAAGTTATGACCTGACTTAGATTGAGCTACTAAGCAGGCTTCTGAGATCACAGAACTTCCCTTTAAATGGTCCTATATAGACGTTTCATTAAGCTCAATATCCTGGCATGAGACTCCAAACATCCTAAGTCTATAAACAAGGATAAATTCCAGCTGCTTCTCAAGTATGCTGGGAAATACGATAAAAGTTCTTTAAGAAGTATTCAAATGAAAGAAGAGGTGTGTGGCTGAGCAAAGAATGCTATTTTAAATAGCATGGATATGATTTCTGTTAAAGTTTATGTTTCACAGCAATAACAAATTCCTGGGAAAGGCCAAAGGAATATTTTCACAAAAAATCATAAAGATTTTTTCCATCTTTCAGAAAAATTATTACATGCATATGAGGCATTATGTAAGAATATTCAACATTCAAAAATATTCAGGCCAGGCAGCTCATGCCTGTAATCCTACCACTCTGGGTGGCTAAAGTGGGAGGATCACTTGAGATTAGGAGTTTCGAGATCAGCCTGAGCAAGAGCAAGACCCCATTTCTATTAAAAAAAGAAAAAAAATTGGCCAGGTGCAGTAGCATGTACCTAGAGCCCCAGCTACTCAGGAGGCTGAGGCAGGAGGATCACTTGAACCCAGGAGTTAGTTTGAAGTTGCACTGAGCTAGGATGATGCCACTGCACTCTAGGTGGAGTGAGAGAGTAAGAGTCTCAAAAAAAAAATAAATTCCAATCTATTCCTGTAACACTTTGTTATGCCAAAAAAATGCAATATATTCTCCCCATGGCTAAGGTTCTCACATTTTTCCTTGTACTATCTATCTAAAATCTGCCCCATTTTTTGATTTACCTATTTCTCTCTTTCTACCACATCTCCAATTTATATATATATATATATATTAGACACTTGCTCAAACTGGAAGGTGTTAATAACAATGTGAATATCTATTTTGTCGAATTATACATTTGATGTCTGTGTCAATTTTGTATATATTCAATATAACATTATAAAAACTTGTTTTTTATAATGTTATATTGAATATAATGTTTTTTATAATGTTATATTGAATATATATTAATCAGAAGATTAATTATATAATTTATAATCCAGTTTATAGATGGATAATGCTTCTCTCTTCTGTTACTTTTCTTTAGGTTATTTAACTTCACACTTACATTTCCAGAGAGCCAGAAAGGACAAGGAGAAAAATCTCACTACTTTTATACCCAGTAAGCACTCTAACAAAAAGTTTCCTCTGGGGGAAAAAAAAACCTACTGTCTAAAATTCGAGTTACCTATGAATTTTGCATATGCATTCAGTCCTTAAAATAGCTAATAAAGACAATGATGCTATCACAGAATGATAAGCATCAGCAAGATCAAACAAAATATACAACCTACCTGTTGAATTTTGAATTGCGTGTTGGTGATTCTGCACCTCTTAGGAGTTGTCTGAAATACTTCAAAAAATGAACACTAGTTATAGTTTATTAAATTAATATTTGACATTGAAACATACAACTTTACCTTACTGCTTTGCAATTTGCAATTTTTTCAAAAAGCATTTAAATCAAGTGAATACAACCACAGTCAAATAGGGTAAGGATGAAAATAACACAAATGGAGATGATTTCCACAGGTCAATAAATAATGTGTATATAAAAGGAATGGGGTTTCTGCATCACTGCAGTGCTACAAAGCCACTCAGGCATATGGCAAATCAGGCAGACCAATGTGGTCCCGATCCACATACTCACATAAACACAAACATGGTTTTGGTATAGAGACTTGTTTTTACAAATAACTTCTAATCTCCATTAAACTATACAGTAGAAAAGAGCATTTGCTTTCCTAATCTTGTTTTATTTTTTTTTGTGTTGTTATTTGAATCACTCATCTAATAATATCAGAGCCACTATTAAATTCTGTATAAAAGTCCTCAAATAAGGTTAATATTTTGACTTACCTCATCACTGTGGCAGAACATAGGGGTAAATACATTCTCCAAGAGAGAGAGAACATGTTCATATGCTTCAAAAAGACATCTCATAGTCTGAAGTTTCACAACATCAATGTATGGGCCTTCAGCAACTATTAAAAAAATTCTATTGTAGAAATTATTTATAAATAGCATATATACATTGTTTTAAAATTCACTATAGTGAAAGAGCATAAAATCCTAAAACTATGTTTTACAGAAACTCCACTTTAAGAAATACACCAGAATGAGAAATTAGAACCAAGCTCCAGTTCTGACAAATATCAGTTATGTCAACTGTGAATACGTTGTTTCCTCAAAGCTTTCATCTCATTAGTAAAAAAATATAACAACTGCCCATGTACCTCACAGCTATTGCAATAATAGAGAATTCAAGGGAAAACTCTTTGAAAACTATACAAGAGCTAAAGAATTCAATCTCATCATCTTTGACTTACTTCTCTGAATCTCTTCTACAATGAAGGGATCAAATCTAATTTTGTCAATACTTTCATCCAAACAGTATGTTTTATAAATCTTCTGCAACTCTTCATGAAGAGATAGCATTTCATCATTTGATAACTCTGGTCGCAAAATTCTATCATTAAATTCCTCTAACAAATGAGGGAAAGAATAAAAAAAAATTATTTTAATATAAAGCTATTAAAGAAAACCTTATATTTCCTTTCTAACTGTAGCCAATATTAAGGCAGCAATTAGAAGTAATCTAATTCATTTTAAATTTTAAAAAGTATGTGAGAGTAAAATAACCACTCTAATAACAGAGAAACAGTGGACCAAGTCTTTTTTTTTTGAAACAGAAGAGTCTCACTCTGTTGCCCGGGCTAGAGTGCCGTGGCATCAGCCTAGCTCACAGCAACCTCCAACTCCTGGGCTCAAGTGATCCTTCTGCCTCAGCCTCCCAAGTAGCTGGGACTACAAGGCATGCACCACATGCCCGGCTAATTTTTTCTATATATTTCTAGTTGGCCAATTAATTTCTTTCTATTTTTCAGTAGAGATGGGGTCTCACTCTTGCTCAGGCTGGTTTTGAACTCCTGACCTTGAGCGATCCACCCACCTCAGCCTCCCAGAGTGCTAGGATTACAGGCATGAGCCACTGCGCCTAGCCAGTGGACCAATTCCTACATGTTAATATATCTGAATACATACATAGCAATATAAATTTGCTAAACTTTAAAACAGTAAACACATTTTCAATAGTTTCTTTAAAGAACATATTGGATTATATCTTATACCAAAAGGTGTTTAATATTTTTAAATTTAATTTACTAAATAAAAATAAAATGAAAACAATGCTTTTAAACAATATTTCTCTCTATCATGGAAGCTGCAGGCTAGTGGTGGAGAGTTTGACACTATTTTTTTTCTAAAATGAGAGATGGCAGCATTAGGATAGCCAAAATATTGACTGCTTTTTAAATACTGACTGCTTTTTATTATTCTAAGAGGTATTAATCAGGAGTTTACCCCTTAATTCTTAATTATTCAAACTGAAAAACAAAAAGAGAGAAAAAAAGAGTTTAATAAAAACTGGAACAGAGCATATAAAAACTGTGGTACAAAACATATAATTTCAGTCCCTCATGACTTAACATGCATATAACTGGAATTCCAAAAGGAAAAGAGTAAGAAAATGGGACATAATACTTGAAGAGATGGCCAGGAATTTTCAAAATTGATGAAACACATCAACCCAAATATCCAAGAATCTTAGCAAAATCCAAGCAGAATAAATAGAAAACTACATATTACAGTCAAATTGCTGAAAACTCAAAGAGAAAACAGCAAAAGCAATCAGGGACACACTACATGGAACAAACATGGATTTGAAACTGATTTCTCATTAGGAACAATGGCACTTGCAGAAAACAATAAAAAAAAATGACCTTAAAGCCCTGGGGAAAAAAAAAAAAAAAAACCAAAACTATCAACCTAGAATTCTTTTTTTTTTTTTTTTTGAGACAGAGTCTCACTGTGTCACCCAGGCTAGAATGCAGTAGCATCATCATAGCTCACTGCAACCTCCAACTCATAGGCTCAAGCAATCTTCCTACCAGCCTCCCAAGTGGCTAGGACTATAGGCACATAACACTATACTCAGCTAATATTTTTTATTTTATAGCAAGGGTCTTGCTATGTTACCCAGGCTGGTCTTGAACTCCTGGCCTCAAGCAATCCTCCCTCCTCAGCTTCCCAAAGTGCTAGGATTATAGGCATGAGCCACTGGGCCTGGCATTAAACCACTTCAGTACCAGCGTTGACTATAGTTGTCAGCCACAGATGAACGCTCACAGCCGAGCATCAACTTTAGCCAACAGCCATGATATGAAGGCGCACAGCTGAGCCTCGACTTTAGTCGACAGCCAAAAGCTTTTACTTTTATCTCTGCAGTTGCAGTGTACACATTCAGCTAATAACTTACTACGAATCTGTGACCTTTTAACAAGTCTTTAGTAGGAGTTATTATAGTTATTTTCCTAAAGCTGCCTGTAAAGTAAAACAAGCTTTCAGTGCTTTAAAGCTTTCCTCATCACACAAGAGCAAAATGGATTTGTCGTCAATGCACAACACAAACTACCATGCAGACTATGAGTGCCATCTGTGGGCAAGGTTTTGCGCCAGTGAGCGTGGTTCCGAAGTAGTTAATATTTATTTTAAAAGCAAGATCAACTACATGCTGGTTAAAAGATGCAAACCTAAGTATAAAGAAAGACGGTGTAGCTATATTTAAATCAGACAAAGTAGACTTCAAGACAGACAATTACTGGAGATAAAGAGGAACATATTATAATGATAAAAGGGTAAATTCATAAAGAAGATATAATAATCTTAAATGTGTCTGCAGCTAGTAATAAAGTTCAAAACATAAGAAACAAATTAACGAAACTAAAGAGAAATAGTAAATCCATTAAAAAAAATCAGAAAGAATACCAAATATCTGAACAACACTATCAATTTAACATAGAACACTATCCAGCAGAACACAACAGACAGTGACTCTTCTCACATACACAAAGAACATTCATTAAGACAAACTATATAGATCGGCCATAAAATAAGTTTCAATAAAATTAAATGGAATGAAATCATACAGAATATGTTGTCTGATCAGAAAAGCATTAAATCCCCAAGTGTATTGTTTAAAAATTGAACAATACATTTCAAAATAATCCAACGGTTAAAAAGTAAACCAAAGGAAAATTTAAAATTATTTCAAACTGAATAATCAAAAACACAAATATATCAAAATTTAACTATAATAATCCATAGAAGAACTAAATTTATAATTTTAAATGCCTATGTTGCAAAAGAAGGTATACAAATTAATCATTTATGCTCTAACCTTAAGAAACTAGAAACAGTGCAAACTAAACTTCAAATAGAAGAAAATAATTAAAAAAGCAGAAAATCGACAAATCAAAAATGTTAATAAATTTCATAAAACTGTAGCAACATAGATTAAAAAAAGAAAATACAAATCACCAATTGACATTGGACATTACTATAGCTTCATAATGAGGGAACATTAGGAATAACTTGATAATAAAGCAGCTTGCTGTGATATGGTAAAATCACTAAAAAAAAAAAAATTCAATATCCATTCATGATAAAAACTCTCAAAATAGGAACAGAAGGAAACTCTGAATCTGATCAAGGAAACCTATAAAAAACCCAGACTTATATAAATAATTTCTTCCTAAGATCAGGATCATAGCAAGGCTGTCAGCTCTTACCACTTCAACATTGTAGTGAAGGTCCTAGCTATTGCAATAGGGAAAAAACAAATAAAAATAAAAAGGCATTTCCATTATAAGGAAAAAAGTAAAATTGCATATTTGCAGATGATGTGTATATAGAAAATTCTAAGGAAATCTACAAAGAAACTACTAGAACTAGTAAGTAAATTTAGTAATATCACAGGACACAAAGTTAATATGCAAAACACCAATTCAATTTCTGTATATTAGCAACAATTTGAAAAATTATTTTAAACATCATGTGCAAATATATCCAAAAACATAAAGACCAACACTGAAAACTATAAGACACTGTGGAAAGAAATTAAGACTGAAATAAATGGAAAAATACATATATCATGTTCTTTCATCAGAAACCTAAATGCTGTTGAGATGTCAATTACTCTCTAAGTTGATCTACAGATTCAATGCAATTCCAATCAAAAAAATCCAAGCAGGTTGTTTATGTGTATGTGTGTATGTCTATGTATGTGTGTGTAAATTGGAAACTTGATCCTAAAATTTATATAGAAATATAAAGAACCTAGAATAGCCAAAATGATCTGACAAAGAACAAAGTACAAAGCCTTAGACCACCTGATTCTATAACTTAATATAATATATAGCCAAAGTAATCAGGACTGTGGTATTGACTAAATGAAAATATGGATAAACAGGAAAGAACAGAATTCAGAAATAGACCTAAACATACATGGTCAAATGATTTTACAAAGATGCCAAAGTAATTGAAGAAGTAAAAGAAATGTCTCTTCAAAAAATGGGTACTAGAAAAACCAGTCATCTATCCATACAGTAAAAAAAATGAACCTCCACCCCTACCTAACACAATTATCTCAAGATAGAACACAGATCTACATATAAATCTAAAAGTATAATACATATAGAGAAAAACACAGAAGAATATCATCTTGACTTAGGCAAAGATTTCTTATGGAAGTCACAGGAAGTACTAACCATAAAACTAAACACTGATATATTGGATTTCACCAAAGTTAAAAAGTTATGCTCATTAAAAGACACTTCAGAAAATGAAAAGACCAACCACAGTCCAGAAAAAAAATACTCGTAATACATATATCTGACAAAAGACTTGTATCCAGAATATTTGCAGAACACCTATAAATTAATGACAAAAAGAAAAACAATTCAATTAAAAAATTGGCCAAACACTTAAGTAGTTCCACAGAAAGATATTCAAATGGCCAGATATCACAATACACCCACTGAAATGGCTAAAATTAAAAAGATAAATACCACCAAATTTTGGTAAAGATATGAAGCAACCAGAACTCTCATACATATAGTAAAATAGTACAACAACTTTGGAAAACATTTAGCCCTTTCTTATAAAATTAGACATACACTAACACTGTGACCTAGCAATTCTACATACAGTTATTAAACACATGCCCACCGAAAGCTCTGCACAAGAATGTTCATAGCAGCTTTATTCAAAATAGCCCCAAAGTGGAAGCAGTCCAGATACCCATCTACAAGGAGAATGGATAATGAAACTGAAGTATATTCATACAATAGACTATCACTCAGCAATGAAAACAAACTACTGATTTTTACAACATGGATGAATCTTAAAAAGCATTATCCTGAATGAATGAAGCCAGCCACAAAAGAGTACATATGTTATATGTGATTCCATTTATATGAGAAAATTGTACAGGCACAACTAAACTGTGGTGAGAGAAATTACTGAGAAACTGTGGTGAGAGAAATTACCAATGACTACTTTGACAAGAGTAGGGCCAGGTGTGGATCTCTTTAGGAAGGACCCTAATCGAACTTTCTGGGCTGATAGAAATGTATGTTACATGAATATACACATGTGTAAAACTGATCAAACTATACATTTAAATTCTATGAGTTTCACTGTATAAATTATACCTCAATCTTTAAAAAGTATTATCAAAAAAGGAATTAGATGCATTAAAACTAATCTTTTCATAGATCACCCATGAAGTTTTTATAAATCTAATAATCTGCAATGCTATGGAGCATATAATCAAAATGAAGCATTTTTGTACTTGATGATTTAATCAAAATAATCCTTAACAAAGACTGTGACAAAATATTGACATGGGCTACTGATTAAAGTCTTTAACAGTTTTCTTTTTCTTTTTTAAAAAGAGACAAGATCTTGCTCTATTGTCCAGGCTAGAGTGCAGTGGCACAATTATAGCTCACTGTATCTCAAATTTCTGAGCTCAGTCCTCCAGGCTCAGGCTCCAAGTAGCTAGGACTGCAGGCACACACCGCCATGCCCAACTAATCATTTTTCTATTTTTTGTAGAGATAGGGTCTCACTCTATTGCCCAGGATGGTCTCGAACTCTTGGGCTCAAATGAACCTCCCTCCTCAGCCTCCCAAGCACTTGGATTACAGGCATGAGCCATGAACCATAATTTCATTATATTGAATTTTTAGAATTTTTTTCTACTACTAAAGTCAATGATTATATATTCCAATGTGGAAAGGAGTGGGCACTTGAGAAAAACTCACAGGTGCTCTTAGAATATCTAGTAAATGAAATTTAGTACACTGAAAGATGGCTACTGCAACATCAGATCTGATTTAAATATTCAATTACATTAAAAAGTTTAAAAATTACTTTCATAAAATACACAGGTAAGCCTCACCCACAGTCAGACAAAACTGCAACACATGCACTGCTCCTTCTTGTTTCAGAAAGTTCATAAAGCGAAATAAAAGATCTTGTTGCTCTCTGATTTGCTTCAGTTCTAACTTCAGCACCTTAATACAATATGGGAAAAAGAGTATGTTTAAGCTATATAAATGTGTTCTCAAATTGTTTATATCAAAAATAACGTTATTGCTGAAAATACTTACAGATGGCTTTTTATTTCTAGGTTCTGCAAATTTCTGCAAGAATGGAACCAAAGGAGAAGCTGGTTCAGTTGCTTTTTCAGGCTTTAAAGAAAGAGAATTATTAACTCAGTAATATTCCCACTTGATTTGACATATAGAATCAAAATACAACTCAATCTGAAGTGTTTTCTAATATGTTCAATACTCACTGGGCTGTCATCTATGAAGATGATAAGCAAATGATTCACAGTATCCTAATGGAAAATAATAAACACAGGTCAACATAATTCCATTACTGTAGTCTGCCCAGAATTTTCAGGACTTTTATCATATTATGAAAGTTTCCAGAAAAATGAAGGAAAAAATGGAGTAGTGGCAAAGCACCTGTATTTATGTGTTACAGAGAGAGTTTAAAAATCTATAATGCAGGTTCTTAACCTTTGTGAAAATGGGCAAATAAAAGCTATTCTGATTGTGGCATTTACAATGTTTATAAATTACTTCTGTTTCTTCAAAATCTTATTGGATCAAATGGATAAGCAAAATGTGGTATATACATACAATGGAATATACCCAGCTTTAAAAAGGAAGGAAATTCTGACACAGACTACAAAAACAGATGAACCTTGAGAACATCATGCTAAGTGAAATAAGCCAGTCACTAAAAGATAAATACTGTCTGATTCCACTTATATGAGGTACCTAGAGTAGTCAAATGCTTGGAAACAGAAAGCAGAATGGTGGTTGCTAGCAGAGGAGGGAGGAACAATGAGTTGTTACATAACGGGTATAGAGTTTCAGTTTTTGTAAGAGTTCTGGATACGGGTAGTGGTAATGGTTGTACAACAATATGAATGTACTTTAATACCACTGAATTGTACACATAAAAACATTTAAGATGGTAAGTTTCATGTTAAGTATATTTTTACCACAATATTAAAAAAATTATTTTAAATCTTACTGGATCAGCTAGGAAATCCAAAGAAGGAAGGAACACAGAACCAGACAGGATCTCTCTTATAAGTAAGGTCAGGGATCTGGAAAAAGACAATAATTGTATATTTGTATATACACACACACACATACCACACACATACATATACATACATATATATATGATTTATATTCATTCTTAACTTTCTTATTTTATTTTATTTTTCTGAGATAAGTCTTGCCCTTTTGCCCAGGCTAGAGTGCAGCAGTATCACTGTAGCTCACTGCAACTTCCAACTCCTGGGCTCAAGTGATCCTCCTGCCTCAGTCTCTTAAGTAGCTGGGACTACAGGCCCATGCCACCACACCTAGTTAATTTTTGTAATTTTAGAGAGAGGGTCTCACTTTGTTGCTCAAGATGGTCTCAATCTCCTGGGCTCAAACAATCCTTCTGCCTCAGCCTCCCAAAGTGATAGGATTACAAGTATTAGCCACCATGTCCAGCAAGTTCTTCACTTTCAAGTACATATGACTTACCTAAGGATCTAGTTAAAATGCAGACTACTGCTTTATAGAGCACACTTTAAATAGCAAGGACTTAGAATCCTTACTTGGCTAAAAGGTAATACTACTTAAGACAAAAAAAAAAAAATTCCCTTAATAGGAGGGACTTAAGAGACATTAAAAAGTAATTCCTAAGATTTAAAATGTTTAATATATATTTAAATTAAAGTTTAAGGCTAATATGTTTAATAGCATAATTACCTTACAACTATATTAATAATATGTAAATTAATATTATAAAATAGTCTAGAATAATCTTTTCATTAAATTATTAACATATTTTTAAACAAAATAAAAACTTAAAATAAGGTAATATTTAAAATACACCACTAAAAATAAGCCCTGGTTTCTCCTCTAAAGACTATTAGAGTAAGAGCAATAAAGAAACTTTTGGAATGATCTAAATATGCTCCTGCCAGAAAAAGGGAGAAAAGACTAGATGATCTCAATTACTCTTCCCAGCTGAATACCTTAAAACTCAAACTTGTCTATACAGTTCATTCAAAGTGTTTCTATCTGTAACAGTTATAATGTACATGTCTTTAAAAAGGAACACCAAGAAAATAAAATATAATGATCTCAAATAAGAAAATTAATTTTATTCATATTTATCATTGATGTCCAAGATCAGTTTTCAAGAAAAATTCTAAGTAACACAACACCCCACAAATACTTAGCACCTAAATTGGTATTTTAAGACCTGATAAATTACTTTTATCAAATGAAAAATTGTTCACATCATAGGCTAATCTCAAGTTTTAGTGTACTCCTATCATAATCAAAAATAGCAACATACATATGGCACAGTATACAAATACTACTATGATATTTTCTAGTATATTTATACCTGCAGTCTGTTGCTTTAGGAGGCAAAATATAAGGAAAAAGTAGTTCAGTAAGTTTCCTTAAATAGTGTAATTCGTCTCTTCGACTTCTCAAAGCAACATGAAGCTCTGGACCATATTCTTCTAACGCAGCTTGCTGTAAAAACTCTGTATTTTTTACTACAAAATGGAGATTAAAAATAAGTATTAAAACAAGTTAAGTAACATTAAATAACTTCAGCCATTTCCACTAACAAAGAGGACAGCATCTAACCTAGACATTCCTTTTCAATACATATTCTACGGGGAAATTTTTCAGGAACAGACTATAAAGAGAGAAATTCCTCTCTGTTTATTCTGCAATAAATTAGTAAATGGACCCCTTTCCCCTCGCAAACAAGAATTTAAATTCATGTTTCCACTTTACAAATTACATAAAATAACAGCAAATGATTTTTAAAAGATGGAAAAAAATGTAGAAAATGTAGGAAAAAAATGTAGAAAATGTAGAAAAAAATGTAGAAAACATCTTTTAGGACAAGCTTTTAGGATAAGCTTTTGTTATCAAACGTTACATCGTGTTCATCCTCTGAAAAAACAAAAATACTCTACTCAAATTTCTTTAATTGCACTTGCTTTCACAACAATATAAACCAGGTAACCTTTTTTTTTTTTTCTACAGTAAGTAGTAAAGTTTATTTGAGGAAAGATGATGTTCACATGTATGCACACATAGTTGAATCCATAAATATTTTTTTCACATGAATGATTCTTCAGGAGTGCTTAAAACTTTGTTCCAGTCATACAGAGCTACTTGTCATCTCCTGTTCACAGCGTGCTCATTCTTGCCCCCGTGCCTTTGCCCATTACATTCCCTTCGAAGAATGCCTGATTCACTCATCTTTGTCCTTTCTGTCTTTTATTTATTTTTTTATTTTGGCATATTATGGGGGTACAGATTTTAAGGTTTCAATAAATGCCCTCCAGGTAACCTTTTGAAGCAAATATACAAACTGGCTTCTTGAGTTAAGTTCTGGATCTTCTGTCCAGAGCATAGAACGCAAGTATAAAACTGTATAAGGTAGAAGTCTATGAATGAAGATTCCTTAATAAATATTAACTGATGGTAAAAGTTACCTTAACAGGAAGTTTTTTAAAAGCCCAGGCAATAAAGTAATATTTTAAAACTTAAAAGTAACAGTATTCTCTCCTTTTTTATATCTCAAAAGACTAAGTGGAAAGATAAGCCATGCTTTCCCCTTTCTGCACTCTGTACCAAGTTTTAAAATCATGGAGTCTGTGTAGGTAATCTTAACCCTAATTCAGTGGCATTTACTTTAGGACTATTTCCTTCTATTTTTATGGAAAGATAATCCAAGTATGTTCACCCTCCCCCCCCCAAAAAAAAGTCAATATATGCATTCTAACAGTGTGAGTACTAAGATAATGAAGGCTATCTGTACCCTTACAAGAAATACACTTTAAATTATTAGCCAAGCTTTTGTTATCCCCAAGAACTTAAGGCACGGGTCTTTTAGAAATTTATGTCCATGGGCATTTAAAATCAGAAGACTAAGTTGTGCTAAACTTCCCAGCTCTACTTCTTTACTGATATGATTTTGAACAAATGATATAATCCCTTTGAGTCTCAGAATCTACATCAGTAAATGGCCATTAAATAGTTATTAACTCTGAAAAGTCATCATGTAAAATATGTAATAATTATAGTATTTGGTGTGATTAACCATTTATAGATAATATATGAATTAAATCACTGGACTGGAATCTATTCAGCAACTGTCAAATGTAAGAGATTTTTGTAGTTCTAGGTGATAAGAAAGTAAAGGGATCAGGCAAAACATTTTTAAAAAGTTGGGAGGGAGAGACACCTTAATTGGGAATATAAACAAAATAGATATGCTGGAATATAGAGCATGGATTAATCCCCACAAATCACTAGTATCTAATGTCTAATTGGTTGGTGGTTTTCAGACCATAAAAAGAAAGGTCCTCAGAATCTATGACAGAGAGATATCTTCAGGTTGCAAGAGTGGAATAAGGTCCTTCTACACAATCATTACTGAATTTAAATTAAGCCAATGCTTATACTGTGTATATATATTCAACATTCTCAATTTAAATTAAGCCAATGCTTATACTGTGTGTATATATATTCAACATTTCTAAGAGCCATACATAGAAGTAATTACATAGTCAGAACACTTCTATATAATATCTATTCTTAAGAGGCAGATTAAGTACAGAACATCAAGAAAGTAAGGATAACAATGTATGAAGAGATGAATCTTTACTTCCTGAATTATGCTTAATTGTGGAACCAAAGAATTCATGAAATAAATTTATATATTAAAGAAATGAAAAATCTAAAATTAAAAAATATTTTTAACAAGTCTGTCTAATTCACTGTCATAATATTTAGAACACTGGGATCTTAGGATAAAATTAGAGACCTCCTTATTCTCTGGCCTTTTACTTCTATGGATTTCATTAATTACAATGTTATTAATAAAACCGGAATATAATTGAGTAATAAATTGAGTTATCAAACCACGAAAAGACATAGAGGAGCCTAAAATGCATATTGCTAAGTGAAAGAAACTAAAACATACTGTATGGCCAGGCACGGTCACTCACGCCTGTAATCCTAGCACTCTGGGAGGCCAAGGCAGGTGGATTGCTCGAGGTCAGGAGTTCGAAACCAGCCTGAGCAAGAGCGAGACCCCATCTCTACTATAAATAGAAAGAAATTAATTGGCCAACTAATATATATAGAAAAAAATTAGCCAGGCATGGTGGCACATGCCTGTAGTCCCAGCTACTCGGGAGGCTGAGGCAGCAGGATCACTTGGAACCAGGAGTTTGAGGTTGCTGTGAGCTAGGCTAACGCCACGGCACTCACTCTAGCCTGGGCAGCAAAGCGAGACTCTGTCTCAAAAAAATAAAAATAAATAAATAAGTAAAACATACTGTATGATCCCAACTATAAAACATCCTGGAAAAGTCAAAACTGTAGAGACAGTAAAAAGATCAGTGATTGCCAGGGGTTCTCGGAAGGACGAATAGGTGAAGCATGGGGGACTTTTAGGGCGGTGAAACTATTCAGTGTGCTACTGAAATGGTGACTACATGATTGCACATTTGTCAAAACTCACAATGCATGTACAACACAAAGAGTGAAACCTAATGTAAACCATGGACTTTAGTTAATAACAACATATCAATATTGCTCCATCAATTATAACAAATGTAACAAATAATGCAAGATGCAAATACTAGAAAAAGGGGGGAGTATATGAGAACTCTGTGTACTTAAACTCAATTTTTCTGTAAACTTAAAATTACTCTAAATTTACAATCTACTAATAAGACAAAACTTTTCCTATATTTTCTTCTGATAATAAAGTAGCCTTTACAAAGTGACTACACCAAAGACACTAACTTCGAGTGTGTTTTTGCCATTGACAGGACAATAATTTTAAAAGTTTTATTATCATTTTTATTTATTTATTATTTTAAAAGTTTTTTTATTCAACAAGTTAAATATACTCAAGCTCTTTTTTTAACTATGTTGAAGGTAAAATTATTTTTACTTGTTATAAGATGAACACAGTAACTTTTAAATATATAATTTGAAATGCTTTTCATATCTAAGGAATTATGCATCTCAAAGGGCAAACTAATAATTTTATTTAATTTAACTTCAATTCTACCTATAGCATAATTTCCCAAAATATGCTCTGATTATTAGTTGATATTACGAGGGAAGAAAAAAATGGTTCCATGGTCAAATGAATTCGAGACACCTAGGTTAAAGTTAAAGCTATTTCTTTGCTGCAGGACTACTCAGAGCTTCTGGTGTGCCAGTACTTACTGGGAATTTCCAGGCAGGGAATACAATAGTAATTACCAACAAATATGACCATGAAATTTCTTCTGATCATATGGTCATCTATGTACAGTAGTATTCTGCAGAACATACTTCAGAAAGCAATGACAAAAAGAATTCCAAATGCAAACAAACACAAGGAAAATCTCAGTTTTGCACAAAACTAAGTGTAGAGTATAGAAGTAATTTTGTTGCAAAGAAACATTTTAGTTTGATCTAGAGCAGGGGTCCTCAAACTTTTTAAACAGGGGGCCAGTTCACTGTCCCTCAGACTGTTAGAGGGCCAGACTATAGTTTTAAAAAAACTATGAACAAATTCCTATGCACACTGCACACATATTATTTTGAAGTAAAAAAACAAACGGGCAAAACACCCGTAATGTGGCCTTTGGGCCATTGTTTGAGGACGCCTGATCTAGAGTAAGAAAAGTCTCAAATGAAGATTTCACATTCATTCAATCAGAAAATATTTACTAAACATATGTTATTTGTAAATAATGACAGTAAAACGGCCACGGCACACGTAAGACATAGCAAATAGGTCATCCTGGCTAAGGCATAATATATAATGAAAGACAAGACTATATCAAAATATGTAACTACATAGAAAAAGGGTTTATATATATAGTCTGTATGCTATAGCAGAGTCACTAAGATTTTTTTAGTAGAGAAATAACATGAAAATTGTCATACTGTAAAATTAGCAAGGTAGTGATATAAAGGATGGGCTAAAATAGGTCAAAACTTGAAATCAACAAGGAGAAAGTGGGAAAAGACATGAAAGATACCTCAGAGAAATAGGTTATCATTCAAAAAAAGATAAGCCATCAATAATATATCTAAAAGCTAACTAACTATATTTAATTTTCAAAGATTTTTGTGTTTTCACACTTACATGATTATTAATAAACTACTGAAAGGGAATTCAGTTTAAAAGCATACTCTCACAGCATTTGTAAATATATCAGTTAATGTATCAGTACTCAGATATTTCAGGTGAAAGGTGATGTATAAAAACAAAATCACTGAAATTGTAGTAAAAAACTGTATTACCTTTCTGTCTGGCTTTAACTATCACTTCTATATGCTTCATTGCTGCTTTTAATAATTTCTTGGTTATAATAGATGGAATATCCACCTAGAAAAATTCAACATAAAAATAAAATTTTTGAAGTAATTATTACTAAGTTACAATGGCAAAAACACTATAATTAAGATATTGGATCTTAAAATTAGAAGTATTCAGAATCTTTCAAAAATATAACTTAAAATACTTTATATTCTTAGATCATACAACTGTTAAGTTAGATAGTTTTTTTTAACAAAGTACTAAAAGTTTATCTTAATATGCACACTCTAAATACTAATTTTTCCCCACAAAATGATATTTTTATTCCTGGCTGGCTTCTTTACGTGTTCTTTGGGTTAAATGCATGTAAGGAAAACTCTAGTAACTTATAATCTCCTTGATGCTATAAACTTGTTGGTAAGATGTTACTGGAAAATGAACTTTTTCATTCAGCTTACAAGATGAATTCTGGTTTTAAGATATATAGAAGCATTCTATTTTAGAATAATATTAAGTTACATCATTTCCCACCAACATTTTTAAACCTAAAGGCTAGAATCTATACTGATAATGGTAGGTTAGTGAGGAGGGCTGAAGGCTTATATGCACACACAGAAAAGAAGCAAAACATAAAATAACTAAAAATAAATTACAAATAATAGTTTATTGGAGGCCGGGCGCTGTGGCTCACGCCTGTAATCCTAGCTCTTGGGAGGCCGAGGCGGGCGGATTGCTCAAGGTCAGGAGTTCAAAACCAGCCTGAGCAAGAGCGAGACCCCGTCTCTACTATAAATAGAAAGAAATTAATTGGCCAACTGATATATATATAAAAAATTAGCCGGGCATGGTGGCGCATGCCTGTAGTCCCAGCTACTTTGGAGGCTGAGGCAGGAGGATCGCTTGAGCCCAGGAGATTGAGGTTGCTGTGAGCTAGGCTGATGCCACGGCACTCACTCTAGCCTGGACAACAAAGTGAGACTCTGTCTCAAAAAAAAAAAAATAGTTTATTGGACTTTAACAGGCTCATCTTCCACCATAAAGCCTAACACTTTATAACTTCCTGTTATCAAAGACATGAGAAAATTCTATCACAATAGTGTTAACTTCCCAATTCTTTTTAAATTCCATATTAAAGAAGAGAACAAAATCCCAGGGTAAAGAGTCTAACAAGTATGATGGACTATAAACCCCACATTTTAGTGACCTGCTGATAAAATCCAGACCATAGATCAAACATGTTCAATAAAAAGGAATATTCTTGCTAGTACTATGCCTCATTGCAAAATAACATTACTCTTTATTTATCCTCAGCCATACAGTACTCAATGATTATAAATTACTCTCATATTTTATCAAATAAACAAGATGTTTTAGTTTTTAAGCATTTTATAAAATCTTGTCTTCTGACAAAGACGAAATCATGAAGAATTGCATTTGTAAGTTCCATTCTAGGACTTCGAGTCAGAATTAAAATGATAAAATAACAGGTTTCTCACTAAACTTTGATTTTTAAAAAAAACTGGGGACTTTAAAATGACTCTTTATTTTCACTATCTCCAAACTTCCAATTTATATTATTCGAGCAATGGTATCAAGAACAGAACACCGTAGATGGAATAAGATGACCATACCTAACTTTCTATAAAATGGATATAATGACCAATTTATCTCCCAGGACACTGATGCAGATAAAATGAGAGGAAAGACCAGGCACAGTGGCTCATGCCTGTAATCCCAGCACTTTGGGAGGCCAAGGTGGGACGATCACTTGAGCCCAGTCATTCAAGACCAGCCTGAACAACACAGTGAGACCGCCCCATCCCTATAAAAAATACAAAAATTAGCTGGGGGTAGCAGTGTGCATCTGTAGTCCCAGCTCCTTGGGAGGCTGAGACAGGAGGAACGCTTGACCCCAGCAGTGTGAGGTTGCAGTGAACTATGATGACCCTACTGCACACTAGTCTGAGCAACAGAGTGAGCTCAAAAAACAAAAAACAAAAAAAAGTGAGAAAATAATTAGTTATGGCAAGGATGTAGAGATATTAGAATCCTCATACATTGTTGGTGGGAATGTAAATGATGCAGCCACTTTGGAAAACAGTCTAGCACCTTCTTAAAGTGCTAAACATAGAATTATCATTTGATACAGCAATTATACACCTAGGTATTTACCCAAAATAAATAAAAACATATATTAAACAAAAAAAACTTATACACAAATGTTCATACATGCATAAAAGTCAAATGTCCAAATTTCCACTAATCGGTGAATGGATAAACAAATTGTAGTGCATCCTACCCATACAATATGGTATTATTCAGCCATAGAAAACAATGGCGTAGGCTGGGCACGGTGGCTCATGCCTATAATTCTAGCACTCTGGGAGGCTGAGCAGATCGAATGGATCGCTCGAGGTCAGGAGTTTGAAACCAGCCTGAGCAAGAGCAAGACCCCATCTCTACTAAAAAAATAGAAACAAATTAATTGGCCAACTAAAAATATATAGAAAAAATTAGCCGGGCATGGTGGCGCATGCCTGTAGTCCCAGCATTTGGGAGGCTGAGTGAGAAGGATCACTTAAGCCCAGGAGTTGGAGGTTGCTGTGAGCTAGGCTGATGCCATGGCACTCTAGCCGAGGCAACAGAGTGAGACTCTGTCTCAAAAAAAAAAAAAAAAGAAAAGAAAAAAACAATGGCATACTGTTAAATGCTATAACATGACAACATGGATGAACCTTGAGAACATTATGCTAAGTGAAAGAAGCCAGTCACAAAAGTCTACATACTGCACGATTCCATTTATGTGCAATGTTCACAATAGACCAGAAATTCATAGAGACAGAAAGGAGATATGTGTTTGGATATGGCTGAGGGGATAGGAGGGTTGGGATTCATGGTGAAAGGATACAAGGTTTTTTTCTAGGTAATGAAAATGTTCCGAAATTGATGGTGCTTGATAGCTGTACAACTTTGTGAATATGCTAAAAACCACTGAATTATGTACTTTAAATGGGTGAATTGTATGGTATGTAAATTATACCTTAATAAAGCTGTTATCAAGATATATATATATATCATGTTTCAAGTAAGAGGTGCTATTCTTTCAGAATTCAGTAAGCTATCTCAAAGCCTAACATAGCAGAAATTTTTCTATTAACTAATGCCTTTTAACTAATTCATTGTACTAAGGCAACCAAAATTCATTTTAAAAAATTAATTTAGACTTATTACAAGTTATAATTTAAAATGGTTTATCACCAACAAATTGATAATTCTTCCTAAATCTTTCATTCCAATTAGTCTATTGAGACAATTGTCCCAAACCTCTTTTTAAACAATATCACGTTTATCAACTTTTTTCAAAAGTAATAAAAGCTCAATGCAAAAAAAAAAAAAAGACAAATACAAAGAAGTAAATGGAAAGAACCAAAATTCAGCATCAGCCTAACACCAAAATAAGGGTTAACAGTGACAAGGATGTATATGTCCTTAACATATGTATTAACAAGCTTTATTACATGTTTTGTTTTCAAAATGGAAAAATACCACATATATTTTCTAGCCTCTTCCACTTGACTATTTAAGATAAATATTTTCACATGAAAATGAGTACTATTCTACAAAGTGATTATTCATGGGTATGTAGAATTCTATTCTTAATATGTATTGTATGTACTCAACACATAATCCCACCACTAAATACCAGTTTTTCTTTTTAGTTTTCCTTATTATAAATTATAGCACAATAAATCTTTGAACATACATTTTTAACTACATCTTCGATCATATCCTTAACATATATTACCAAAAAATGGAATTAAATTTGGAGTATAGACATTGTTAAGTCTTAATAAAGATTACTGAACTCCCCTCACATGTAATAGTTACACCAATTTGGATTTGCACTTGCTTTGCCTTTTTCCACACAACCATCATTACTAGATAGTAACATTCTTTTTTACCTTTCCCAATCTGATAGATTAAAAAAAAGTTATCTCACTAAAATTTTTTATTTGATATGAGATAACATATTTTCAAGTGTTCATTGGCCATTTTATATTTTTCTTTTGTGAACTGCTCATTCATATTTTTTGTATGCCTTTTCTACAGTGGTTACTTGTATTGTTCATTTCTCAAATAATTATGCAAGCATTTAACAAAATTAATCTTTATTTTATTACTAATGGCAAAGATATATAATAATTCATTGTCAATATGTTCAATCCTATTGAATTGACAAAGCAGGAGAGACAAGTGTATATGTCTACAGCTAATGTTCTACAATATGTATATAGGCAAAGACCCAAACATGCAAAATATGGCTCAAAAAATTTTTTTTAAAGTAGATCACAATCATTGCCATTTACTCAATAAATTCATCTAACTGGAACATAACCTTTTTTATATAGTTGCCTTTTCATTTCTAGTTTTCACAAACCAAGATAACAAAGCATTAAAATTCAAGAAAGCAAAACTGATCAATGAGTAAATGATTCAATAATTTTTAACCTAAGAAAATGAAATGAAGAAAAAACATATACACATGATAAAGAGGAAAGTAAAAATAAGATTTAAAACACTCTCTTTCATAAAGAGAAAGCTCCAAATTCTCTAATTTCTCATTATAAATATATACCTTGTGAATCCTTCGTATCAAGACAGATGCAAAAAACCGTAACGTTATTCTCAGTTCATCAACAAAGGACTCATCATCTGTCACATCCCTTCAAATGAGGAGAAAAGCAAACATTAAGAAGTTCAAAGAAATAGTTTTCACCTTCTAGAAATCAAGGAAAAAACTTCCTTTTTCTCCCCATTTACTTAAGCTATTTTTCTTTTATTTATAAATAATTCATTTTATTGCAGAATAAAATATATAAAAAAACAAACATCTCCCATAATTCTAGTACTAAGATATAATCACTATTAACTAAACTGTAGTATATATTTATTTGTAGACATACACATGTACATAGTCTTATTTGTACAATATTAAGACCATTTTCTAAGTATCATCAAAGAAATGTCAAAGAAACAAAAGAATAAATAATTTTGGAGAAGCAACAAAATACAAATTTTAAATTAGTTTAAAATATTCATAAAATAATGATATAAACTAATTCTAAAAGTTAAATAGTGTGTTCTATTTGAAAAAGAAAATGAACTGAAACTCAAATATTTTCTAACAGAAATTTTGACAACCTTTATCTAAGGAGCTACTTTTCATTTTCCTGTTGTTTTGAGGTCCCTAGAATTAGCATACTTCCCTATTCAAAGGCAAGAAAAAAAGGTATGTATAATGGTAATATCCTGAACTTGAAGATGCTGCTAACAGTTAAGTCCTTTGGCAGAATAAGAAAGATAATTTTATCAACCATACTTCCCACTATTAACCCCCAAGAACGGGATATTACAGTATCAATAGCTAGACTGAGGAGAAAACACGTATTTTAACACTTAGAAATATAAGATTTTATGTCTGAAGAGTCATAATGTAGAAGTGGGAGAAGGTAAAAGAGTCTTTACAAAGGGATTCATTTTACAAATGACCTCACCATCAGCTTTACTTAAATGGCAAATGTGGCTGGGCATGGTGGCTCATGCCTGTAATCCTAGGACTTTGAGAGGCCAAGGTGTGAGGGTTACTTTAGCCCAGGAGTTCAAAACCACCAGCCTGGGCAACACAGCGAGACCCTTTCATTACAAAACTTGCAAAAATTAGCTAGGCATGGTGGCATGCACCTGTAGTCTCAGCTACAAGGGAGCCTGCAGCAAGAGGATCACTTGAGCCCAGGAGTTTGAGATTGCAATGAGCTATGAGCTTTGATGACGCCACCAGACTCTAGCCCAGGCAACAGACCAAGACCCTGTCTCAAAAAAAAAAAAAAAAGAAAGAAAGAAACTTAAAATAAAAATGGCAAATGCCTGATATTTAAGACAGAACTCAATATCAAAATTTAATTTACACAGCTTTTCAGGAAAATATGGTATATAAACTGGATATCAAATTGGTTTTAACACTCTGGATGAACACAACTTGTAGTATTTTTTATTAGAAAATTCAAACTATACTGAATCAATATAAAATTAGGGAGATGTCATTAAACATTACATCTATAAGTCATATAGGTGTAAGTGTTCAAATATATATTAAACAAATGATGTTTATTTAAGGAAATATGTATTTATTAAATTATATAAGTTGGATCTCTCTTTGATTCTCAAACTAGATGTTTTTTCAGATCTAGAGTATTTTCTGTATCTTAGAAGGCACAGGGCCCTTGTACATACACAGCATACAGCAAAAACAAAGTTATTTTGGAAAAAAATATTAATTTTTCAGGAAAAGTACTGAAGTTATCTTTCATTTAATGAAACGTCTGAATATAGACTTTTCTCCCAAAGGTGTAATTATTTCAAATGCGAAAACTGTACAAAATTATTAAATTGGTACATTTAAGAATGATAAATTCTATGTTACTTTTCTTTCAAAAAGCAACCTAGGTTTTCTTCCTCTTTACTATCACTAAATTATTAACAGATTGCCTACATCAATGGTTCTTAACTGGGGCCAATTACACCTTCCAGATATCATCTGGCATGCTCTGAAGACATTTTTAGTATTTAAAACTTGAGGGTGGTCGCGCTACTAGCGTCTCATGAGAAAAAGCCAAAGGTGCTATTAAATATCCTATAATGAAAGTACAGCACTCCACAACAAAGAATTATTTGGCCTAAAATGTCAGTAGTAACAAAGTTGAGAAATCCTGGCCTACACTGAAAACACATTAGCATATTTAGCTTAATGGTATTCACTATATTAAACAAAAAAGATCTTACAGAAAGAACATACCTGTACCATGGATAAACAAAGTTTTCCAACACTAATTCAAGAACCTGCAGAAAAATAATTTTTAAAGAAAAATAAAATTAATTAATTCTGGGGAAATAAACTGTACTACTTGGTGATATATTTTAGGTAAACCAATACATAAAATTGGTTTTATATATCACAAATAATAACAATAATATACTTTCACATGACTCCATATTTCAACCTTATACAATTGTGAAGATCAAAGAGAGCACTTGAGAAAACACTTGGAAAATCATAAAATTTCACAAAAAGGAAAAATTATTACTACAATGACACATGTTTCTAAATATTCACATAATCCAACAAAAAACTTAAACTATTCCTGACTCTAAAGTTTCACTGAACCAAAAAAGTTCTATGGAAAGGGGGAAAATATTAAGTTTGTCTTTTGTATTCCTAAGTTTCTCTAAGTCAGTATTCCCAGAATAAAATAAACAAGTAGCTAAGACTTATATAAGGGGTAAAAAATGGGTGTTAGTGATCACCTTTGAAGGAAAGATAGTGATTTACAAGGGAACATGAAGGGGAGTTCTGGGATGCTGGTATTTTTTTCTGAAGGAATACTGGTTATATGGATACGTTCACTTTGTAAAAATTTTAGCTGTACACTTAAAATCAGTATATATAAGTTATATGTGAAAAAGTAACAAACAAAATAAACCCTGGGTGTTAAACTTTCCATTTCTTTGGTGTGGGTATTGAAGTATGTTATAATTTTTAAAGGAGTTGTAGCACTCCTTTAAAGTTACTGTCAGAGATAGAAACATTAAAAAGCAGTAGAGAGGGAATGGAGCAAAAATCAAACCATAAACCTTCTCTGATAGCAGTAACAAAGGTTATGGAATCTCTAGTTTAAATTTTTTTTTTTTTTTTTTTTTTTTTTGTTTTTTTGAGACAGAGTCTCACTTTGTTGCCCAGGCTAGAGTGAGTGCCATGGCATCAGCCTACTCACAGCAACCTCAACTCCTGGGCTCAAGCAATCCTCCCTGCGAGAGAATTGAAGGATATATTTTGATATACGGGTTAAAATTAATTTCACCTGTTTTTTTTTTTTACTTTTTAAGAAATTTAGCTACTAGAAAATTTAAAATTAATGTGTGACTTACATTGATTTTTATTGGATTGCTGAGTTGAGTCTGTTGAAGAAACCTCGTACAAGAGTATTATTTGTGTTTTTGACATTTCAGTCATTCCTTGAAATAAGTGAAAGAACTTATGTAAGTTTGGCCCAGGGCCTGGTACATATTCTTGCTCAATAAATATTAGCTCCCACAATTAAAGTTTTGAGTATATGCTCCAGGTAGGAACTGGGTTAGGCTTAAGAATTAGATAGAAATAAGATATGGTCCTCTCTATTAGAAACTTCAGCTAGTGGGAAGGTAAGCATATAAACAGGTAATTACAATATAATTTAATGACACATTAAGGGAAAAATGTGCAAGATATAGATTTGTGTAGAGGAGGAAGTGCATAACTGTTCGGAAGGATAGTCAGATTGGATGACTAGAAGTTTGCCAGACTGATATGTGGGAAAGGGTATTCAGGGTTGGGTAGAGCTTCTAAAGGAAAGAGCCTTGAAACAAGATGTAGTGTTTGAGTAAACTGGAGGTAATATGTGAAGGACAATTAAGAAATATATCTAGTGGTTAGTATTTAATGATATACTTACTATATATTACCACTGTGCTAGTATATACATTATTTCATGTAATCTATACATAACTTACAAAGTGGGTCTATTACTGTTAATTTTATCAAAGGTAAACTGGAATTTAGAGAGTTTTAATAATTTCTCAAGTTTCATATCCAGTTGGTTGTAGAACTCAGTCAAGAACCGCGTCTGGCTTAGATCTTAACTAGTATCTTGTATAGCTTTTGGAAATCAGATCATCAAATGACTTCAGGGGCTAGGCTGATGGAGTTTAGATTAATTGCTACTGTAAGCCAGTGATTTTCAAACTGTGTAACTTGAGTTTTCAGATGTGACATAGGATGCAGTGCAAGGTAAAAAGGAAGTTAGTGGTCACGGCTGCTGCTTGTCAGCAGCTCCTCTTCAAAATCAATGCAGCTTCACCTTTCTTTTCTTCATGTTTTTGTTTTGACATTATTGAGGATTCATGCAAGGGGTGAGTGGTGGCAAATATGTTTTAGATCACTTTGGCAGGTCTGTGGAGGCTGGAGGGAAGTGAGCTTGGAGCGAGAGAGACTAGTTTAGAGAGTAGTGCTGCAATACAAGGAATGAGAAGATGAGGACCCAAACAGTTGCGCTGTAGGAGAGAACAACTTTGGATGTAAAATCAGTAGGATTTGGTGACCTATTAAATGTATGAAATAAAAGGAAAGCAAACATTTAACAATAACCTTTTCTAGTTTCTTGTCATCCTGTTCATTGATATGGCTGTTTTATATGATCTTTATTTCCCAGTTAATGCTTAGTTTTTGTAGTAAAACATCTAAATTATTATTGCTTTAATATTTAAACTAGAGGCTGGGCGCAGGGGCTCACGCCTGTAACCCTAGCACTCTGGGAGGCCCAGGCGGGCGGATTGCTCAAGGTCAGAGTTTGAAACCAGCCTGAGCAAGAAGACCCTGTCTCTACTAAAAATAGAAAGAAATTAATTGACCAACTAAAAAAATATATATATACAAAAAATTAGCTGGGCATGGTGGCACATACCTGTAGTCCCAGCTACTAGGAGGCTGAGGCA